CATACTATGCCATATAGTAATGGCAGAACTGGGAGAGAGTTCCTAAGTGTTCTTTGATTCTGATAAGTGGAGTCACTTCCATTCAGGGTCTAATAGACCATGCTACATCCTTAAGAGGCCAAAATACAATGATCAAGTATCAATATGGCAGCAGAATCTTTTATTTTGCTTTGGGGATTGTGTCCTCCAGTTTATTTTGCAAATGTATCTTGTTCTGGATTCACAGGAATATGACCTAAAGTGATCAAATTTCAAATGTGACATTTCTTTCTCTGCTATTGCAAAATGAAGCTATGAAAACTTAGTTTGAATTCTTTCCATTGTTTTCTGTTATCAAATTAGGTGCTTGATATCAAGTATATACTCATATATGTGTGTATATATATATATAGGCAACATTTTAACTCAGGTATTTAGCTTGTATTGCCAAAGTATATGTTGTTCACAGTGTTGTTTCACACTTGTGTTTTAATCCCCTAAAGCTGCCTTAAAATAGAAGTTCTATACTCTTCTGTTCTTTTAAACTATTATCAGTAGCACATATCTTAAAATAATCTGATAGCTGTGCATTTTTAATATGTCTGGGCTTTTATTTCTTTGTTAAATTTACATTTGCATACTTGCAATTAGGCGTTTCATGAAGGCTTATGTAACACTAGAGGAGAAGCATGTGATGAAAAGAGGGAGGAAAAACTCATGGAAAATTGAGTAACTGTGACTACTTTCAAGAGTCTGTATTTCTGGCAGCTGGAGCAGATTATTCCACAAGTTCAAAGCAGCTTTGTCAAAGCTCTCCTCATGGCAAATTGGAGTTTCACTAACCAGCTCTGACTTGCTGCAGTTTTCTACATCAGTGACTTCTGGGTGACATGTTAGATAATGTTGAGCATAAAGTTGTAGTTATATAGTAGTAGAGATATTGCTTTAGTCAATAAAAATTGTAAGTTCAGAGCAACCCTTGTGCCAGGCTAGTGCTCTACTACCATCAGTTGCTACCCAGTTACTGACCCTTTAGCAGGAACAGCTGAAGTAAAATAGACAATACAGCTCAATTTTAAAATTACTATGAAATATATGCTTTTACCTTTAAAGGAGGAGAGGGGGAAGTTTCCAAACACGGTAATATAGTGTTGCACTGTTGCATTTAGAAAGAAAACAAGGTTTTGATTCTGCCAGCATTTCAGTCTGTGGGTGATTCTGTGCAGTCCCTGAAGTCCATGCACTGGATGGGTAGGTGAAGTTGCATATTTTAAAGCCCTGCTTAGACAAAGCTTTTCATCTGACTTTCTTATCTGGAAGTATTATCCATGAGGACAGATGTTATAACATCTCTCCCTGAGAGGAAGGCCAAAGAGAAACGTTTAATAGCTGACCATCCTGACTTAGAGAGTTCATTTCCGAGTGGCTGTTGGAAGTCTGTTAACTGAACCAGGTCCTTGCAAAGTGAAGGTGGCATAGTGCAGCTCTTTACAGCTTTTCCCATCAGTGAGAGTTTGGGGTGAAGTATTTACCTGTATGATGTCCCCTTCAGTTGGGATGGGTAGGCAGGAGGGCTCTTTTGTGGCAATGGGAAAGTCACTTAATGTTTGGTTTAACATCAGAACCACTAGAAAGTAAAAAATACACACCAGAAGAACCATATATCAGAAAATACCTTATGGGGTTGAATAAAAGATAGTCAGACTCCTCTTTGTGACATACATTGACAAGACAGATCATAGAATCATAGAATGGTTTGGGTTGGAAGAGACCTTAAAGCTCATCTAGTTCCACCTCCCTGCCATGGACAGGGACACCTTCCACTAGATCAGGTTGCTCAAAACCCTGTCCAGCTTGTCCTTGAACACTGTCAGGGATGGGGCATCCACAGCTTCTCTGGGCCACCTGTGCCAGTGTCTCACCACCCTCATAGTAAAGAATTTCTCCCTTATATCTAATCTAAATCTGCTCTCAGTTTGAAGCTATTACCCCATGTCCTATTCCTACATGCCGTTGGTTGTCCTTTTCCAGCTTTCTTGTAGGTACCCTCAATGGAGCGGAAGGCTGCTCTAAGGTCTCCCCAGAGCCTTCTCTTCCACAGGCTGAACAAACCCAACTGTCTCAGCCTGGCTTCAAAGGAGAGGTGCTCCAGCCTTCTGATCCAGACCCTTTGTTGATCTTCAGCCCTTTAAGTTTCCAGAATGCTTCAAGAAAAATATCCTCTTACTTCTGGCACTTCTTTATACAATGTTAATTCTCTCCATGTAAAGATAGTGGTTCAAGATAAGCAACAGAGCAAGCATTAGGTAGCTGAATTACGTCTCTCCTGGCAGGAGTAGGTTAGTGAGTCTTGATGGAACCTATGTTGTCAATATTTAGGTTTGGATTTTAGATGTTTAGTTGTCTGATTAATCTGTTTGTATCTTAGAGCAAGAGGTATTTTATGTGGGAGCACACCTACACTAGTTACTAAATACATGTGCCAGTTCTTATTTGATATCCAGCATGGTTAGAACTTACAGTTGTGCCATCTGTTCTTTTATTCATCACTTGTCATATGAGTGGTCATATGAATGTGTACTCAAACGGTGTCACAAAATATTCCAAGGAAATGTCAGAGGAGGAAATATGGAAAAAATATTTTTTTGTGTACCAAGGCTCTGTCACAAATGTATTAACTGGATGGCTTTTAGACCATTGTTTTGATGTTATTGGAGCATTCTGTAATCCTATGGCACAATGCTTGAAGAAAATAATGTTCATATGCTTTATGAGAGATGCAAAGAAATTTGTGCTGAAGCTGTTGGAACATCAGTGCTCTCACTAATGCTCAGAACCAGGCTGATGGGAATCCTGATGTAGGTTTCGGGCCTCTGGGTTTTGTTGGGCTGACTATAAGATGTGACAGTTCTTACCATGTTTTGGAATGAATATTTGTTAAATTCAATAGTAGTTACTTCTGCAGATCACAAAAGACTTCATACAGTTGTTAAGGGGAGTGAGTTCTTTTTGACAATTATTTAAAATTGCACACCTTTTTTGGTGACTAATTTTTTGACTGCTGCTATCAACAAAACAGCTTTTGAACACGGAAGAGCTGATTAACACTATCTTCCTATTTCCCTCACTTGCCTCCACCCCTCAAAAAGCATCACATAGATTCCCAGTTCTGCACTCTGCCTCTTCTCACTGTATATTTTGTTTCTGTAATAGAATCATACAATCATAGAATAGTTAGGGTTGGAAAGGACCTTAAGATCATCAAGTTCCAACCCCCCTGCCATGGGCAGGGACACCTCACACTAAACCATGTCACCCAAGGCTCTGGTCCAACCTGGCCTTGAACACCACCAGGGATGGAGCATTCACAACTCCCTTGGGCAACCCATTCCAGTGCCTAACCACCCTAACAGGAAAGAATTTCCTCCTTATATCCGCTCTAAACTTCCCCTGTTTAAGTTTTAACCCATTACTCCTTGTCCTATCACTACAGTCCTTAATGAAGAATCCCTCCCCAGCATCCTTATAGCCCCCCTTCAGATACTGGAAGGCTGCTATGAGGTCTCCAAGCAACCTTCTCTTCTCCAGCCTGAACAGCCCCAACTTTCTCAGCCTGTCTTCATATGGGAGGTGCTCCAGCCCCCCTGTATGCTTATCCTTTATGTTTATTCTGAAATGTGCCTGTGGAAGGAGGTAAAGGGGAAACAAAGACTTCTGTCAGGCCATGAAAGGCATGAACTCACTGAGGCAGTAAGGCCTGAGTGTATATTGCTAAAGCTGGCAAACACAGCAAATGCTTAGAGGCATCTGAAAAATCTGAATTATGCTTTCTGAAGTGCATCTAATACAGTGACATCTGTCTAGATTTTAAAGCTGGACTAATCGGTTTTTTTCCAACTTTCATTGCTAGTGAAATTTTAATTCAGATTAAGTTAATTTTAATTATATTTTTTTCCCTCTCCCAAGCTTTCATGATATAACTGTCTTTTTACCCTTGCTTGCAAATGTTTTCAAACTCTTTTGTGGAAAGGTTCTTAGAATTCTTACAGTCTGTCTTCAGACTCTTCCCAGATTGCTGAGTTCTGGACTCAAACACTTTTATAGTACAGCTGATAGATATAAAGATGAGGAGTAAGCTGAGAAAATCATGGCATCTGATTTCCTGGCTTGGCTTTTAATTATAAATAGATGCTGAACCAAGGATATGGCTGAGATTTGAAGCGTAATAACTTATCTTTTCGGTTTTCTTTATAAAGGGTTGTTGAAAGGGCATTCAGAGCCCCAGGATTAACTCTTTCTATCTGTTTTCTGCCAGGGCATCATCAAAAGTCTGTTAAAATGATGGGAATATCTTCTCTGTTAGAATTCATTCAGGTCATAGATTGTCCAATTCTGTGTAATGGCTGTGTTAGTAAAGAGTCTACAAAGTTTTGACCAGTATCTTGTACTGTACCTTTAGAAACCTGGGCTCTGCAAGTCACCTTTAACAACACAGTTTCCTCCCTATTGCATCCAAACATTGCAACATGTTTGAGAGTTTCTTCTTCTAAGTCTGCAGACCATTATTCATTTTGTTACTTCCCCTAGCTTGCTTTTATCAGTGTCATTAATAAAGCTTCCTGCAAGGGAAATTAAATTTAAAAAAATAAAGGCTGCTGTTCTTTGGAAGTAGTGGTTTCCAAGGCATCTCCAATAAGAAAGATTAAAAATTAGCTGTTTGTGTAGCATTAGCATGGGGGGGGGGGGGGGGAAGTAATATACCTTATTAAAAACAGCTTTGTTAAAATGAAATCTTCTTGTTACTCTTTTCCTCAACTTGAATGGGGAACTTGTATTGTGGCTTTGGTATTTTCTATGTAACCTTCAGAGCTTTTTCTATGCAAAATGGCATTAAAGTGGTGTTTTAAATGGTCTGGTTTTAAAGGGAATTTGGTGATGTCTAAGTTGCATTATTATAGTGGTTGAGCTATTGTTTAGTGATATGATTAATTAATCTCTCATTTTCTTCCCTATTTTATCAGCTGAAGGTTCCAAGATACAAGACAAGAAAGGCAGTTCAGGACAATGCAACACTGGAACTAAACCAGGTACACCATTCCACATGCTTTGTTTCATAATGCTGTCTGCCTCAGTGGTGCATGAAAATCAGCTGTTGTCTTAGGAACTTTTAAAATGCGTGATGCTCTTATACCTCTCACTGTTTCAGTCAAAACTGGCATCATTGACTGTATTCAGTTAGGCTGGAATTTCTGATTTTTTGCAAAGGAGCAAAACTGGAAAAAAACCCAGACTTTTACTACAGTTTAGGAATGAGGGTTGGGAAGAGAGATAAGGCAAGAGAAGCCACTATACCTGCATCTGTGCTTGCATGAGGATTATCTGTTGTAGGCAAAGATTTTCATCTTTTATCTAAATGTGCTTCTGTTCAGACATTTCTTCATTTTCCACAAAGCATGCCATATTCTGTAATACACTCTATGCAGTAGGCAGATGTTTGTCATTGCTTCACCATACCTGATTAGTATACTGTGTGGATTTAATTCACTATTCACTTATACAATTGGAAATCTACATATTAAAATGTTTAATGTAGTCCTTAATGCTTAATGTAGCATTAAATTGGAGAGATTAGATATCTAAATTCTGCCTGTATTGCAATTCAGGTATGCAAGTTTAAAATATGCAGTTAATAATAATCTTGTTTAGGTGCATGAAATAGCATAGGTACTTGTGTTGCTGAGTATGAGGCACACTGTAAGCACTCCTTTCTCAACTCCTTGACAGCTTGGCACCTCAGTGGCCGGTTTGTATTGACAGACTCTTCTCTGTCCCCAGACTGGATATTTCAGCACGTGTCCCCAGAGGGAAGCAATCCCAGTGCTGTCTGTGTCATCTCATCTCTGTCAGGCAGTGCTGGGTCCAGCACAAAGCGCCACATTCACACATTCACAGCTGTTCTCAATCAGACAGGCAAGGGGGGGAGGAGAGTGAAGGTAAAATTACCTGCTTCCATGGCAAGCCAGAACTCTTGATGATGGACAGTGTTCAGCATCCACTTTATCCTGCAGTAGTTTAATCCCAGTTTTCAGTTCTCAGGAAAGTGTCCTGTGCTCCCTTCTTCTGTGCTTGTGTATAGAAAGGAATACAAAATCCCTTGGGTTGTAGAGAGGGAGGGCACAGGCATGTGTGTAGGGTTTAGCTCTGCACACAGCTGGTGAGAGTCTCTGTTGAAGAGAGAGTTTCTCAGAGCTGGTGGTTTGTTGTTTTGTTGGTTGGGTTTTGTTGTTGTTTGTTTTTCTTTAGACTGCACATGTATTTCATGTGAAATGGTTTTGGTTGAAAAACAAACCAAAGAGTTTGCAGCAGGAGGGACAGCTGTCACTATAAACATCGTCATTATTCTCTGGAAAGTGTGTACAGGCTGAACAAATATTATGAGTCCAAGGCAACCCTGCATATATGCATGGCTATACAAAGGGAGCTGGACAAAAGGAAGACAGTTTGTGATCCAGGCAGTGCATCTTTTCAAATAATGCTGGTTTATCTTTCTTTTTCCCTGCGCCACCCCTGTGAACTAATGTACAAACTAGCTGTTGTTTTCCATCTGATATCCCTCTCAGTTTCTTCAACATCAGAAATTAGCACCCTAGGGGTTGAGGGCAGAAGGGCATTTGTGAAAAGAGATTGAGAGGATTATGGATGGAAATGAAGAATAGTAGTAGTCTGACTTTTGAAGTCACACTGAGTGCAGATGGTAGGTGCCTGAGCCACAGAAAGTGGCCATACATAGTAAGTACATATGTTAATTACTAGTTTAGCAAAATTACAACCTAATTTCTAGAAATGTCAACTATGCTTAAGAGTTCATTGAGTACTAATTATATAGAAGATTTGAAAAATTTGCATATTCTTGGTTTTTTGGAGGTTTTTTTTTTAGTATAATAAGGAACAAAAAATGACTGATATTTCAGTGCTGAATTTATGCAAAATATTGTTCATGGCCTCTAAGCTCTTTTTTATGAACTAGTAATTTTTTTTAAATTATTTTGGACTCACAGGAAGTATTGTAAGTTTATGGAAAAATACAGGTTTAATTTCCAGAAGTAGGTGCAAAATTAATTTCCCTTCTATAGAACTAATATGGCTTATTTAACCTCCAAACATAATAAGCATAAAATTAAACATTTGTATGTTATGCTCAGCAAGCTGTTTCACTACGATGACATGAGTTCACATGCATTGCATGATAACCAGACCAAAACTTCTACAACAGCATATATGTCTTTCTGGGGTGTTCTCTGTCAGGCTTTGCATATGCCCAGTTATCAATTATTTCTATAAGAACTGAGGAATTCTTGCAGGATTTTTTGCAAATGGTGTGTTGTGCCTCATAGCTATAGCCCAATGACAAATGTGAGCAAGACGAGTACAAAGTACCTTCCTTGTGTGTTTGTCCTTGTATTCCTACAGAATAAGAAGAAATACCAGTCCCCCAGGTGTTTGACTGGTGGGTTGTTAATGAGCAGAGACATGAGAAATAAAATAGGGAGCAGGGCTATTGAACTCTCTTGGTTTGCCGCAGCTTGAAGTTCCTGAAGCTATGTACTGGAGGTGTCTGTATTCAGGGGAATTCAGAATGCAGGTGTTGGACCTTGGGCTTGTAGCCAGACTTTGAAGGATCATTTTCAAGGCTTAGAAAAGACATTTTAATTAACGGTAAGATTTGCACCAGTGATGTGTGCAAGTAGTGTCCTAGTAGAGCAAAGGCAATGCTGGTCTGCTACAAAGGTGTTATCCCCATCCTTGTGCTAATATTGATTTAGCTCTTTGTGATTCCACATATATGCAAAATAGCTTGTTACTGAAGACATCCTTTTCCACTCTACATAGTCTGCAAGTTACTGTGAATTCTTTAGGACTGTTCTAACATCTTGGGGTGCCGGGAGAGGAGCTGTGTGTGTACGTGAACACTGTCAGGTGTGTAATGTAGAAAAAATAATTGGATACCTTCAAACATGGCAGAATGCAGAATGGCAGAGGGCAGCTTTAAAAATTTATTTTATCCTTTCTATTGCTTATTATTAGGAATCCTTAAGGGATACCTTTTCTCTTTGCCTGTCCATGTAACCCTCCTGCCTCTTTGAAGAATTGCTGCTTCTCCCCAGTAGGGAAATCTCTCCTCTCAAGAAAGAGGAAAAAAAAAAAAAACCTGGAAGGAGAATAGTGCATTTTAAAAGAAGCAGGATTTTATGTTATTCCCCAATGTCTCATCATTCTCTGTCAACTCAATGTTACAGATTCAGTGTTACAAAGTCAATGTTACACTGACTTTGTAGACAGCCCCTGAAGGGAATCCTTGTTTTCTAGGGGAATTCATATTAGATGTGAATTTTTCCAACAGCAGTAATTACTCATGCCACAGAAATTCATGTTTTGTGAATCTTACGTGCCAACCATAAGAGAGAAGGAATATTATTACCCTTTTGACCTGTGTCTGCGTGCTGAAGTGACTGCACTTGAGTCAGCACACTTTCAGCATCAGCCAAATATTAATCTATACCAGTCACTGGACAAATCTATGCAATGATATGACTAGGCATAGTTTCATAAACGGCAGCACTGTGTGCTACTCAACCAACATTAAGGGTTTGATCTGTAATTGGATGATGGATTTCATTTGTCTTTGCTGGTGACTAGTTCTCCTGTTGCATCTTTCTTTGGGACTATCATGTTCAAATGTTCTACTAACTATGCAATGAGGTTTCTCCTTGGCACTCTTACTTTGCATTACTGTTAACAACATTAATTGGGGCTGTAGTCTCTGACCATTGTTGAGATGATAGTTCTTCACTGCTGAGAGTTCAAGACTAACTAAACTGAACCTAGTCATCTGTGAACTTGTGCATCCTAGAAATCCTGTCATCTTGATGCAGAAACTTCTGTTAGATTAGGAAAGGCAAATTACTGAATTTTGTCTAATTTAAATAACTTTAAAATCTGCCTAGCACATCCTGACTTCAGGAATTTATTTTTGTAAATATCTTTAACTTATTTTTTATGCCCCATTGTATTGTTTTGCTAGTAACTTTTTTCATAGGTACGTGGTCCAGACACACATAGGCTGACTTTACATGTTTTTACAAACTGCTTACTTGTGTATTAGCACTGAACTGTGACAAAGATCTGTTTTCTTGTTTCTATGTTCCTGTCCATGGTGACAGTATTCTAGGTAGTTCTTTATCTTAAAATACTTAAAAGCTGAGTTCCCCTCAATATGAGATAAATCTTGTCATTTCTTTATGCCCATAAATATTTTTTATTTTTCTGTGTGGTTTTTTGTTTACTTGTGGTTTTATTCAGAGCAAACGTTTTACGTACTAGTGAAAAAAGTTTAAAATTAGCAGCTTTCCAGGTTTAACAGGACAGGCTAAGGATAAGTAGGAAATTAGTTTTGGCAGCATGCTGAGATGAGTAAGTATCTTGGATTTTGTTCCCTTGTTGTCTGGACCAGCTCCACTCTGAGGCTGGAAGCAGGATGCTAGCTGATCTGTGTTTCGTTGTCTTCCAGAGAACTCACTGAGCAAGCAGTAGTTTTCCAACCAAGACTGGACTTTTACAGCCAAGCCTGGGCTCTGACACAAACTTTTTGGGGGTTGTTTTTTCATATTATCCTTAGTCTTATTGCTGTGATGCAAGTGGCCAGTTGCAGGTATTTTTAAGGAAATAGTGTAGCTAACTTTCAGTCTACAAAGGATACTTGAGGAAACTGTCATCTTTCTTTATTGGAATTATACTGGTCTATGCATGTCTGAATGTTTTTGCCAAAGCTTTTAATTCATATGAATGCAAACATCTGTGGAGATCAGTATCTTGGTCTTTTCAGAAGCTCAGCTGGAACTTCTACAGTGTTTCAATCCAACTTCTTTTGCTTAAGTACTGAGCTTCTTCAGGCTTGTGAAATAGGGCTTAGTGGGTTTTCAAGGCAATATGGTTGGGAAGAGGCTGCTGTGTTATAATAGAATTTCCCGTGGAAGTGTTTTGGAGAGAGATTGTAGAATAATAGACAGTATTTTCAGATACAGTAGTTTCAGAATGCTCTCAAGCTGCCAAAGTGTTACAGGCTTGGAAACAAGACAAAACTTTTTTCCTGGGCTTTCAAAGGCAATAGTCTTGAAAGGAATTCAGAGTTACCACTTAATTCATTTTTTGGGAGCATTTTACGTCTTGATAATTAGAAAGCATTCACGTTTTTGAATACTTTTTTGATAAGATGGATTTATGAAAATAATCTACTTTGAAAGCAGAATAACTAGAGTTGTTTAATGGTCACTTCCTTAAAAACTTGTTCATGGTATTGTTTGATTTTATGCTATATGCCTAATATTTTCCCCCTCCCTCCGTCTGTAGATCATCCAACAATACTAAAGGTTGATGACAGGCAGCGGCTTGCTAGAGAACGGAGAGAAGAACGAGAAAAACAGCTAGGTAAGGTCTACTGTGTTGGGTTTTTTATTGTTTGGGTTTTTTAATGGACTATCATTTGCATGCAATTTTTTTTCTAGTTTACTTTTAAGAGCATTCAGCAAACTGATAGTGCTAGATATGCAGTAATGTCATTCTAGACACACTATTGCATCTTTAAGGTAGATCTTTTTTAATTCATGCACATCTTGGGATTCATCGTTGCTATACCTGTCGCATTCCTATTACTTTTGTTAATCTGAATGAAAAGTCAGCTGATTTCTGAAATAATGCAAGGAAGTGTCATTGTAGATGGAAGTTTGGAAGTTTTAGAATATTTTGCCAATTAAAATTAGACTGCTTAATATGTTGAATGCATCCTGTATTGCCATACAATAGAATTGTAGAACATGTTGCCAATGTATGGTTTGAATATTTCTATATAAGCTTGTTTTTTTACTAAAGGTAAAACCTTTAGTAGGTTTCAAATAGTTGCACTCAGTATCTTGTTACCTGTGCATAAGCACCTATGTCGGTGTTCAAGTGAATAGTGAAGGTTACATAACAAGTGACTAGTGGTGGGCACTATACTGAGTGTGGTGGTGCGAGAACTATAGAATTATGTGAAGCAAAATTGTTGGCTTTCTGAAAAGAATGTTTGACTGCAACAACAGTCTGTGGCAAAGTATTCCTTTTTTTTTTTTTTCTTCAGAACATTCACTCTGATTTGTTTGCATGCTGTGTTGTTCTTACAGCTTGAGAAACGGAAGTTCTTTATTTCCATTTTATAGCTTCTGTAAGTTTATAGAACTATTTTGTAACTCCAATCAGAGTTATACTGCTTTTTCTAACCTGGAGAGCCATGATTTATTGCCATCTAGGTTTTAACAGCATTGATATCCAGCATCTTATAACATTGTACTAACCGTGCATGAATCACTAAGGTTGTTTTGGAGGAGTAAAGGAAATAGTTGGTCTTCAGTTGCTCAAGGGGATAACATGGCCTTGATATTTACCAATCCCGAAAAAGCTGCTCATGGAGTTGAGGCTAATGGTATGTGTAAGCTTAGTTTCTTCAAGTTCCACGGCAATTACGGGCTCATTCTGATTAGCTTGTCACAATTGATGTTTTCATGCCTTGAAATTATTTTTTCATGTTCGATCTTTGTGTAGTAACAATGTTTTATCCAAGTGCAGAGAGGGATGCTTTCTTTAAGATTTTCTGAACTCTAATTCTACCTATTGATAAATGAACATCTGTTACTGGAAGGCCGTGACTCATATTGAGAAATGTGTTATTTTGTGTGATGTTTTAAAAGGGTTTTTTTAACTTGACATAGAATGCTTCATTCTGAAATGTGAGAGTTCTGCATGTCCCCATGATGTACCAGTGTATTGTGTGTTCTTGACTGAAGGATTATTTTGAACTAACAAGAAAATTGAAAGCCCCATTGTACTTTCATCGACGTATTTGTCTGCTAACATTATGATTTAGGAGCTGTTTCCTGAGATTTTTTTGTTCCAGTACAGCAGAGCAATGATTTTTGCAATGGCACACAAGTTGTTTTTTTTTTAGTGCAGAATATAGATAATCAGTCACTCATGTCATGTGAACCATAGCAAAATAAAAGCCTCAGCTGCCTGTCTTAAACATCAAGTTGTATAATGTTGTTACATAAATGTGCCTTGCTGAAAATTAGAGTTGGATTTTGTTAATACAGGGACATCAGCTGTGCAACAGTAAAGCAACTGAAGGAAGGGTTTTTTTTCTTTTTCTTTTTATTTTTTTTTAAATAGAACTGAGTTGGATTTAAACTTAATTCCTCTCCTTTTGATTCAGGGGATATGTCAAGTTTAGCGAAGGCTTCTTTTTAAGCAGGAGTTGAGAATTTCAGACATACCTCAAGTGAAATTATTCTCCCTTTCTCCCCCTAACAAAGACAGTGTTCAGTCCTGTGACTGTAGAGTTGGCAGTAATCTTTAACAATTCTTTGTACTTTCAGCAACTTGAACCACATGAGGTCATGTTATCCATCTTTTAACGAAAATTAAGTTGTTCAACCCTTCCGTTGAGATTATGTGGGCTACCAGTTGAATAACAATTGTTTATTGGTCAATATTTCTGATGTTATGGGAGGGTAAACTTGAGACCTGTTTTCCCCCTGCCCCCCTTTTTGTTTACTCTTAAGCTTTATTTTTTTTCAAAGTTCCACTGTGCTATAATAGATGTGCTTGCACTGTGGTATAATAGGTCAGTGTGTGCTCTGTACTCTTGAGGATTTGCTTGCACCTGGCAGTGGTATTCTAGTAGACTTATTCTACTTACCACACTTGGGTGTTTTTAATGAGCGTTTAGAGAGTAGGAAAGATGAGTGCTGTCATTTTGGTTGTCTAGATATATATAGCATATGTGTAGTGGGACTGTCAATGTCTGTGTTTCTTGAGGATCATGTTATGCTACCTAATTGAAAAGAATGATTGAAAAGGCTTCTACAAAAAATGTCCCTTTCACTGTAATACATTCATGTCTAGTTTTGGAACTTTCTCTGCAAAATGTAGAAAGCACACAGGGACGTGTATGCTATTTCAGCTAATCACCCCATCAAGAAAGGAGAACATTTTAGTTCCTTCTCTGGAGAAAAGTCATGATTTTTGAAATGCCCTCCCAGCACTTCCAAAAGATTAATTCTTTGTTTTTTTCCTGTGCAGTTCATGTTTTCCATAACTAAGAAGTTGTATCAATTTGAGGGTTTTACCTTTTATACTTAGACTTGCCTTTTCACATAGACAGAAATGAAGGAATTGCTTATCAGCTATGCTTTAAGTTTCTTATTCCCTTCACCATTTGGTAATGTGTGTTTTACTTGTTGAAATGTTCATTCAGACCTTTAAAGGATTATTAGGGTAATCTTTACTTAATAATGCTTCCAGTGTGTCACTTGCTCTTTGGTAGTCATGTTTTCATTTTGTACTGTTTGTGCTAGCACTAATTCCCACAGTGTCTATGCATGAAGTTAACATCTGTCCTTTAAAATATGAATATCAGATCTCTCTGTGTGACACCAACCCTCTTGGGTTTTTGCAAGAGAGGAATCCCAGGAGAGGCAGCACTAGGTGAGGGTGGTAGCTGTTAAACAGGCCTATTCTTGCAGGACAAAGTGAATGGAGCTGTCACAGGTTTCCTGGCTCAACTTGGCACTATGGCTCCTTTGCGTGTGTCAGGCTGGGTGGTTGTGTTTGGTGCTGGAGACACATGTCAGAACTGAGTAGTTTGTGAAGGCAAGCATAGTAAATGGCCTAGTCAAACTGAGAAAGTTTAATAAAAGCTACTGCTTGATCAGTAGTGGGATTTCACGCTTGATTCTGCTATATTGGTTTTATCAATACTGTCAAATTAAACAGTGCTGAGAACATTCCCTGGTGCTGAAACTCAATTGTTCTTGCTATTAAACTGTTCTGATGGATCCTGGCAGGGAATTTGCTCTAGCTAACTTGCTGTCTCTTTGCTGATTCCCAGACAAGGGAATCCCATAGACTTTTCCTCATGTGCTGGTTGACTACTGTCATCGTTTTGGAGGGTAGAAGTTTAGCAGTACAGGTGAAAGTTGTTCTATGCCATTTGATCTCATTTGCCCATGTTCCATCTATTAGCATAGACCTGGTTCTCTGTAACTGCAAGGAAAAACCAAAATGTGTTTTTCAACAGGGAAAGCTACTGGGATTTTAAAAGGGGTTTTATTCTGGGAGTCTTAGGTAGCATCCTAGCAAAGAGAAAGAGTTGGGGATTGGGGATTTCTTGCTTTTACTTCACAGTATCTCAGTCCCGATTCTTGAGAAAACCAAAAACAGTCTTATGTCTATGCAGGCTTTATGTACACTAACCCTGCTTGAAGAGTGACCTTTTTTATCACCATTATGATCCTGACAAGGACACATGCCTCATTTAGTTTCTGGCATTGGGGACAAAAGATGGTAATCCTGCCATCTGACTTAACTCTGTTTAAGGAAATGTATTATCAATCTTAGTTTTCAGAATATGTCAAAGTTTCAGGTTGGCTAGCTCCATTAAATTCTTAATACAATGCATAAGCATTAAAATAATATTTCAAGGATCACATTATGGTACATATTCCTCTCCCATTTGAAAGTGATCATTAATAAAACATCACATTAATAAAAATTACAGTTTTTTCCTGTCAGTGGATTCCCTCTGGCTTACTGGGGACAGAACTTTATCTAACATTTCCACAGTCAGAAGCTGTGAATCAGTGACCCTAGTATGTGAATTATTTTGGGATGTTTTCAGAGAGCTTGAGTGTCAGAACGTTTTATATGACAAGAAAACAATTTTAAAGGAAGATTTTTTTAACAAATTCTGTGATGAATGTCCCTCAGAGCATGGTTACTGGGGAAGGGTTCGCTTAGAGAATCTAACATTAACTTCAGCTTTAATTACAGCTCTGAAGTTCACCTTCTAATTCATTCAGTCAGCCATTGCTGTGGAACATCCCCACTTCTAGGTATGGTTAAAGCATCACTGATCCGTCTTTCTGCTAATGCAGCAAGGAGACAATCACAGTCTCAGACAGTGCAGAGCTGGCAGTGAGGAAAGGTGAAACAATGGTCAGAGGAGAAAGCTATTGCTGAGGTCAGTGATGTAAAGTCAGAAAAGATAAAAGCTGCAAAGATTGACAGCGACTGTAGGATCTTTATTCAGGTAAGCTGTCCGTCCAGGGTGGATGCAAAAGGCAGACTGAGAAAGCATGGTGGTAGACTCACCTGCCTTTATCTAGGCAATAAACCAGAAGAGGAAGAACTAAAGTGAAGAGACAGCAGAAGGGATGGCAAAAGAGGAGGTGCAGAGGAACATCCCTTGCTTCACATGGATAAATAGAAAATAGAAGCTTTGGCACTTGATGCATGTTCCCCCTTCTCTCATAGCCTAAAACCCCTGCAAAGAGTGGTGCTCTGTGTGTGTGCATGATTAGAGAAAGGAACTACAAAATTATTTCCGCAAAAGAAATGTGCAAGATATGCAGGTCATATCTCCCACATTAAATAAGTTCATTCTAGTGTAAAATTGCTTGTTTTCAAGTCTTACGTGTCTCACAATATTGGACTGTTTCTTTCTTGATTGACCTTGTTTTCTTTTGCTCTGTTATTCACTTCAGCACTGCCAGAAACACAGTCTTAATTATGTTGCTTTTTAATCTAATCCAGCATTACTAGCTTGCAAATAAGCAGAAGGTATTAATTTTGGTTTTATGCTCTAATTTTGTGTCCTTACATCACTTGATTGTGTTCAAATTTATAGATCATACTAAGTAATGAAATAGAACAAGCATCAGGATGTGACATTTCTTTGTATTTTCCAGCTTTAGTGTAAATGTTCCTATGCCATTTATACTTTCAACATGCAGGTGCTATTGGAACCACAACCAAGCTTTCTTTGAATGATTCTTGCATTTTGTCAGACAATTTATATTATTTCAAGGGAGAGAAGTATCACAAAGTTGTTAAGGCTCAGCCCCAAGATAAAGCATTTTATTGGACCATACCTGTACTGGCACCCAACGTTGGCTCAGCACCAGGTATAGGTATTACCACAGCTTCTGGAGGAGCCATCATAAAACTGGGTATTTTCCTCTTGCGCATCCTGCAAATTGCTTGCTCTTCCAAGCTGACTGGACTTTTTAGACGAATCTTTGGTTTCCTGTAAGCTTATCTGCTGATTCCTTGTATCAGCAAAGCATTTCATGTATGCGTTGCTCTTAATACAGCTTGTTGTGCTTCTAGAAGCACACCTGTATATTCAGAATAAGGTTTAATTTCCCTAATTTTTACTTTAGAGTAGGCTTTTTTAACCCTTGAGGGAACTTTGGGTTTTTTACCCTAGGATACAATTTGGTAATTTGTCAAGTGTGGCAGGAGGAAAAATTTCTGCAAAAGCATAAATAGGGACATGAGAATGAAATAAAAATGGTATTTAAGTATTTATATTTTTCTTGAAGATATTATCATATATCCAAGGACACTAGCTTATTTCATTGTATATACCTACCTTGTAGATGGCAAAGCTGAGCCCTTAAGTTCATGCAAGAATGTCAGTAGTGCATATAGAAAGCAGTGAAAACAAAGCAGATATTCTCCATTGATGCTTTAATAAAAGGAAATATAGGAAGTAATCCTTGAAAAAAAAAAAAATGGAACCAGGAAAGATTATTTCCTTATCTGTGGAAAAAGGTAAATTAATGAAAATATATGTTATACTTTTTCTCAGAAAACATATGTTTCATAAATCATGCTTTTATGTACTTACAAATACTTGGTCCAAGCATAAAATTAATAGCTTCCTCATGTTAGTAGATGGGTGGATATTTTCTATTGTTTTTGCCTGTAATTTAAAGATGATAGAGAGAGGTAACTTTTATATTTGTTTGAAGTCAGATCTATTTCTTTAGTTATAATTTATTCCAGTTAGCAATTCCGCTTGACTTGGTTAATCCATCACTAATGTGTGTTTCTGTTACTGAGCTGTCTTCCCTTATCATAGATGTACGATTTTATAATCTCTCCTTTGAGGAGCAGAAAGCTCAACATGAGTGTTCTGTCTAGAAGTTTAGCACTTCCCAGAAGTGAGAGTGTATGTGAAAGTCAACTCTTTAACATACTGAAATGTTGAAATGTTTTCAGCTTATCTGCCTGAATTTAGTCATGATTTTTCAAATGTACTATTTTCATTACTTTTTTAAAACATGACAGGCTGAAGCCTATGGAAATCATCACAAATAACACCCCAAGAAGGTATAACCGTTTACATTAATGACAGATCGATCTCCATGTCTTTATTTTCAGTAGAGAACCAAAGCGCTTTTCCATGCTGGGTTGCCATTGTAAGCTGATTCCAGACACAAAAGATTGAGTTGATCTCAGGATCTGCAAAAGTCTTTTGGCTCACAGTAATGGCTTCTCTCAATATAATCATTACAGACCGTAAACATGATGGAGCTCACTGGACTTTCATTAAATATGTGCTACTGAACTCAATAGGTGCTCTTAGCTTTTTCAAAGTGAATGCATGTTTGAGAGCTTCTGCAGAATGCTATGGTTGAGTACCAGTTTTGAACTACATTGCTTGGGTTACTTAATGTGTTCACAGTCTATTATGTATTAAAGAGAACAGAGTGGGTGCACTGTTTCTTGGTGTTTGGTTTTCTTTAAAGGTTATGTCTGTATATATCTGTGCAATGCTGCCTGCAAAAGTGAAACAAACCCTCTAAACGTTTCTGTATCGGAGTTGAAACGTTAACAGTAGACTCAAATAGGAAACAACTGTGATGATGAAAACTAGCAGGAAAAGCTTCGCAGAAAGTTAGTTACACAGAAAGTACAGAAGGACAGAGCAACACCATACCCTCCAGGAATGGCATTTAATAGTTATTTAATGTTACTGAAGTCTAGCACTAATGAATTATTATTTGAGGGAAAAGAAGAAGAGAAAAACCTAATGTTGAATTGGGAAATATGATTAACAGAATTGTGTTGTTCACAGTATATTATTAGTTAAGTTCTGTTCAGATTTACTGTTATGAAGTAAAATATTTTACCTGTTCAGACCCATAGCCTCAAGCTCTGAGTGTCTGTTCCCTTCCTTTTGTGTCCTCATGAATAATAAGAATGATTTCCCAGCTGTTAGTTTGGCTAACAGTCCAGGTGCTGGAATTGACATTACAGACACTTCTATCATAAGAGGTCTGTATTGATCAGTAAAGGTGGTGATTAGTTTTATCTTTCCGTTTATTAGCTTTCTTTTTATGGTAAAAGATTATGGCGGATTATCATGGTTTGTACAACAGAAGTGTGTTTACATACATCTGACTTATGCATTTAGGTATTTTAAACTAACAAAAAATCCCTTATTTTGGATAGAAACTATATGCTCAACTAATTTAACTATTTCTGGTGTTAATTCATAGTAAGTAAATTCAGATGAAATGAATGTGTGAGGAGGGTACATGATGTTTTAATACATGAGGAGAGATGGGATATTACCCATGTTGTCTTAAGAAAAGTAGTTCAAAAGTCTTTTCATTTAGCTTCATTATTCAGGTAATATTAAAGACTTCATCATATAGAGCATGTTAATTTTTTTATTTCTGATTTTTGTCACAGCTGCAAGAGAATCAGTCTGGTTAGAAAGAGAAGAGAGAGCCCGGCAACACTATGAAAAACACTTAGAGGAACGCAGAAAGAAGCTAGAAGAGCAAAGATTAAAGGAAGAGAGAAGGCGAGCTGCCGTAGAGGAAAAGCGAAGGCAGAGATTAGAAGAAGATAAGGTAAGAACGAATGTCATGAAAACTCTTTCACCATAAGATACGGTACTATTAAACTTTGAGTTGGTGGAAAGAATACAATATAAGCCATGATCAGTATAAGAGAGCATGCAAGAGGATTTTAAACCTTACTTGCACAGATACTGCTTCTTGAAGTGCCCTTTGTGAATTGAAGGAAGCTAAAATGAGCATCTCTGAGTTACATTATATGGCATTGCGCAGACTCATACAGATAAATGTATTTTTTTGTCAGTTCTGTATGGTTATCTGTTAATTCTTAGCCATTTAGTATAAAGGTAGCTAAATATTAGTTGCCCTAACAAAACCTTTAGGAAAGTGAGTGTGTAATAAAATATGCTCATGACTGATTTGCCTCACTTAAGCTGGGAACTGCATGCAGTGTGATCCTACATAAGTCATCTTATCCCTGTGTTTTGTTTTGGGTTGTTTTTTTTTTTTGTTTCCTATCTCTGCCACTGTTCTAGTATTTAGTAAGTGGGAGATACAAGGTAAGAAGTGGCCCTAGAGCATGTGTGTGTAGTGACTGCCATAAAAAAGGCCACTGTTTTCTCTGCAGTTCTGAAGGTTTCAACCAGATCTTACCATTCCAAAGTTAACTTAGGGCTAAACTGCTGCTTAATGCTGTTCCAGTGTGTCTTAGTAGGCAGCACATAAGCTTGAACACAAGTCCAAGCTGCCTGTGAGGTTTTGTCCATGTTGAGGGTAGCGGGTTTGAAGAGAAGATTAAGTTAACAATGGAATAGCATCCAAATGTATTATCCTGTTGTACTTAAGGAACGACATGAAGCTGTTGTACGTCGCACAATTGAAAGAAGCCAGAAGCCAAAACAAAAGCAAAACAGGTGGTCCTGGGGAGGAGCACTACATAACCGCATTAATAACACAGGTAAAGAGGGAGGCCTGGTTTGCTAGCCAGTTTCCCTGCCCTGCCAGTTAACTGGAATTTACTCGCTTCTGTTAAAAGGAAGGAGGATTCGGTGTTTACTGGTTTAAATTCTTTGTTCTTCATCATCATATTGCTAGGATTGGCATGTTTCTGGCATTCTTGTGTAGCAAAAAGGTAACAACGAAAAATCTGACCAAAAGTTGAAGCTTGTTTCAGGAGCTAATTCTCTTACTCTGTCTTGCTACAGCTTCTTGCTTCTGCTTTGGTGGTGTTTGTGTATGTGTGGGTGTGCTTGTGCTGTGTCAGTCTTGTGGTATGAGCTATTATTGTGCGTGAATGCTAAGTATCATGGCTCAAGAAATAGGTCTGGTGGAAATAAGCAAATACTAAGATTAAAACAGACACAAGGAAGAAAAATTATTCTTTGTAATAAGCTATCTGTATTTTGTACAGACATTCTGGGAGATAGAAATTCCTTTTGTCCCCTATAAAAACTTAAAAATGGGCAAATTAAGTGAATTTTACCTACATGCCTTTCCCCCCAGTTATCTTCTCTAATTTAATCTGCAAACCATGAATGTGTGTATGCCCTGTTGAAGATGACTTGAACCCAAAAAGAGAACTTATCCTTTATTTCTTTCACCAGAAAATGGTACTTAGAATTCTTCTCTTCCTACTCTAATGTATACATTTCAAGGTGTCCAACCTTTAATCAAAGAGGGCAAAAAAAGTTGAGGAAAGGATGCTCTGAAATCTGTCATATATAAGTTCAATAAACAGTTACTTCTCATTGAAGGTTACATTTTTTGCTTAACTCTGTATGACTTACTTGATTTTTTTTTTTTCCTTTACTGTGAAAAATCATTGTCTTGCATTTTGTCCCTAGGTTATTTTTTTGAATCATCATTCACCTTTCTCGATTTAGCAGGCCTGGAGCACCACTTCAGATCTCTGGGTGGTGCTAGAAAACCTGGTACATAATTGCTGTGGTTTGTTGATTCCTTTACCCATAGCTAGTTCTCAGGAAATGAGATCATCAGTAACTAAACCACCCTCATGTAGTTGCAATGCATGCTTAACATCATGCTGATAGATTAGAACTGTTGTTAGTAGCAGATTTTCTCATTATTATTTGTTTTTACTATGGAGAGTTACTACTGGCTGACTCCAAAGATTTGGCACAATTCACTGAAGTGAAGCATAATATTCTGTCTTCTGGAATTCAGGGGGAAACAATTTGAATATTTTGGTCTGTTCCAAAACCCTTTTGGCATTCTACGTGTACACAGGATTTAAAATTATTTTGCACGTGAACACAGACATACAACCAGCTGCATTGGCTGATGTGTTGCTCATGGATATTTTTATTCTGTTTTTTTAGAACAAAGAAACCAGCGATCTTCTAGGCACTGGATTGCATTTGCCCTGCTCTACTTTTAAAGGATTCATATTGCCAACACATACACACAAATCCTCATGCTAAATTTCATTCATTTAGATAATGTTCATCGACACAAGAGAGTTGTTTGCTTGCCAAAATACAGGAGGTGATTTTTTTCGTATTGTTGTTTTTCATCTTCAGAAAACTGCTTTGTGCAGTATATCCTTTATGCCAAATGTAGAAACTTCTTGGCTGCACTGATATGCTATGCATTTTCTCAGCTATAGATTAGATATAAGAGATCAAAGTCTCCATCCTATTCCCACAGATATTGTTCTGACAAAGACCTGTGACATGTGGAGCCTGAATATCCTATCTCCAGTACTGACTTGCATACAGTACTCACAATATACCATATAGATCATTGTGGGATATTGTTGCCAGCCTACAGGGACCTGTCTTAGCTATAACATTTAGATTTCTGCTATTAAACCCCATTTCTGAGTTTTATCCCCCTTCCAGAACCCAGTTTGGTGGTTCTATACACTATGGAAATTTTTTGTACACAGTGGTGTGCTTTACTTTAATCCACTAGGTCAGAACAGATAAATACAATGCTGTTGTACTTGTCATAGATAAACAATTGCATCTTGTCTGCTGTATCTACTTTAGATCCAACGTGAAGTCCTTGGATTGCAACCTGATTGAATGATAATCAATGAACAGAATATTTTAGATGTGAAATTTAAATGATTCTGTGCCCAGTCTTTGAGTCACCTGTACGATGTCTGCTGAGAAGTCCACTCTATTTTGAAAGTACTTGTGGTAGAGCAGGAATGACCTAGTCATGTTTTTCTCCTCCCACTAGTGAGTTAGGAACTTGCACTACTGCATGTGGGCTGTCAATTAGCATTATCTCCATTTGTTTTAGATCCAAACAGGCGGTCTGTTTCAACAATGAACCTTTCGAAACATGTTGATCCAGTCATTAACAAGCGGCTCTCCTCCTCATCTGCAACATTACTAAATTCTCCAGACAGAGGTACAGTTTTAAAGAAAAAAAAAAAAAAAAGGCAAGAAAGAATGTTCTATATTGATGTATTACTGTGCACAGAAACCAAGCTTACTTCATTTAAGTGGGAGTAAAAAGACTTTAAATGTGAAAAGTAAATGGTTGAATATTTTTGCATATGAGAAGTAACATATATTTCTTGTTCTTTAAAACAAGAACTTACCTAAACAATCTTACTTTAGCAAATGATAAAAGCAGTGCTTCTGTCAGGTTTTTAGTAAATGAGGTACAACTATTGAAAGAATACATCGCTCCATAGTGCATGTAATCACGTGTGACCTTTTATTTGCATTAGGCCATTTTGTCATGATTTTGTTTTCCTTTCTTCCTTGGTAGTAGCTCTTGAATATCTAAGAACACATTGCATGAAGCTTTCAAGCAGTTATTTTATTACCATTTCTGATTATTTTTATTGAAGAGGCATGTGTGGTTTTCATATGGTCTGTTTATTGACTTTTTATGTCATTACTCTTCAAAGATTATTTTATTTCAGTGTATGTTTCTGTTGTTTACAAGTTTGCACAAATTATAAACCATCAAGCATTTGGAAATCAATGTATCTGAATTGCTACCTCTGTTCTGAGGATTTATGAGATTGAAAGACTGATCTTAAAAGAGTTTTGTGAAAGAATGTGCACACTACAGTGTGTGCAAAGAGCTTTACAGAAAAGTGTTCGGTAGGAATTTTTTGTCCTCTACAGAGAATGAGAACTTCTGTTCCATTTCAATCCAGATAAATACATGTTTTAAAAAACAGTTTCTAGAATGGAATTTTAGTTGTGTTGCAAAACTGATCGGTATACATCATTATTTGTGTGCGTTAACTAAGGGTCATGTTTATGTGTGTGTTTGTATGTGTGTATCTGGTTGATTTGATGAGCCGTGTTAATCTGAGTGGGCTAATCTAGTTGAAGAGTCTGGTAACTTGCAAAAAATACAGCATTACATTAGGAAATAATTTATTCCAAAACTCCAGTAATTTTTTGCTCTAAGCATTGAAATACAGTAATTTCAATTTCTACTAGCATTTCAGATGTATATATTTTTTTGCAGATGGTTTCTGTTGTTTGCCAGGGGATGCTTCTTTGAGAAAGATCTTAAGATGGTGAAAGAACAGCAGCAGACATTAAATATGTGGTCTCTTGTGGACTGTAATTCATTGTGGTATAGTTTCTGCCACCCATTCAAATTCAGGAGAAGTTAGACTGAGTACTAGGCAGCGTAGCAGTGGGGAAAGGGAAGGAGCATGGAAGAAGTGATGGCCATATGTCAAAAACTTTAATTTTTTGCTTGGCGTTTCTATTAGAACAGCTCAGAACTCTGAAGGAGTCCCTTATGTCTTTCAGGACTCCAGGATAGAAAACAAATCCAAGCACTGTAAGTGCCTTCTTTCTTTTGTGAAGTCATATGCCTAAATCTAGTTGAGCATGTATCTGGAGAAGTGCCGGTGGTCTCTCCAGTGGCCTCAACATCTTAAGGCAAATGCTTAAAGGAAGGCTCTGTCTGCTCCCCATTTCACCTTCCAGAGTGCACTCAACCACACTGTGAGTTTAATGCATGCTCCTACGTGCAAAACAGTGAGCTGGAGATGAGGATGATAAGCTTACCCTAAGTGGCTTAGAGCTGTCAAGAATGTCTTCTGTTAAGCAGTGACTTTTTATGATTTGAAGGACAGGAATTACTTTTTATTTTTGCCCACCAAAAGACCAAAGTTTTCATTAACAAATTGCCTAAAGAATGGCTCATTCCTTTTCAAACATGGTGTTGCTATATAGCTCTTTACGAGAATTTTACAATTGGGCAGCTTCTCATCATGCTTTTATGTTAATGGTACAGGTCTGAGTAGTTGAAACTGTAAGAAAACACGAATACATGTATTCAGGTTGTTGACCAATATATTTTGGTGACTGTGCTCTTTAAGGAAAGCTCAGCAAGTGGATAATATTTTAGATGAGGTATGAGTTACACACTTTTAGCTTTGAAAAGCAAAATTTGCACCACAGTTGTGTTCTTCCTCTTCTCTACTGTGCTATTCCTTTCAAATAGGTGAAGGTCTCAACCACGGCATCACCATTGTTTGCCACCTTCATGGAAGAAATTCAGGGACTCCAGAATTGTTTTCTGTTGAAAAAGAATCCAAGCATAGAGTAGTTTTGCCCATCTACTCTTTACCATGTTTGTGGCTCTGTATGAGCAAACACCACTGTTACCACTGATCTCCCCTTTCGTGGTACTCATCAGGAGGCCTGTTCAATCCCTGTCCCCCATCTGTTTCTAGGACTAATCACATGCTGCTGTTTGCTTACTTGCAATTTATTGTGCTGCTGCTGAGATAATTTTACAGTGTTCAGTTTATATATCCTGAAGACAAATATAGATGATTGTAATCAATTCACTGTTGCCAGCTCCCTGGGACTTTGTGTGTTTTTCAGTTACAAATTAAGCTATAAAGATATTTAATCTGTTTAAACTAATCTGCTTGTAGCTGTGGCGAGAGGTACTTGCTTGCACTGGCAGCCCTATAACGAATGGGCTTCCTTCATGAAAACAAGGAGCAAGCAGCCTTAAGAGTGATAGCCTAACACAGCATGAGAATAAAAAATAGTTTCTCTTTGTCTGTCAGATAGTGTGAAGAACTGAATCTTGAGAACGCTGCCTCCACCCCCTCCCCCCAACCCCAAGGTATTAGAAACAAAAAAAGCAAGAAAAAAGCCATCAACTGACTTAATTGCCTTAAAGTTGATCTTATTGTTTCGGATGCTCCTTGGTTTGTATTCCATTTGCTTCAGTGTGAATTTGACACCAAAGTTAAGTTGTTCAATGCATTTTAGGTGTTAATACTGTTGTAACCCAGTGGGCAAAAGTTTGTCTGTTCTAGGCTAACAGTGATGCTGATGACTGGGAATATGTGTTTAAAATATCAAATATGATACTTTTAGGGAGCATCTGAAGTAGTCAGTATGTGATGACCTTGATCCACAAAGCTGAGGTGTATTTTAATGAACTTTGATCTAAACCAGTTTGGGGCATCTAGGGAGATGGCTAAAAGTATTTTGACACCTGAATCAGGCCCATTGCTTATATGGAAAAGAGAGTTTTTGTTGGTCTCTCTTAACTCATTGTTTGGTGCATATCAGGTAGCTCACTCCAAAACACTGTCTCAGTGCTGATAGTTGGATGCTGTGGGTACACGATTGCTTCCAGTAGGTAATGCGGATATAAGCTCCTCTGTGTTAGGGACAAAGACAAGAGATTTAAACCATACTCACTTCAGTAACAAATGGGATACGTGAGACATGACAATTTAGTGTTATAACTCATAAATCTCTTAGCTGTGTCCTTGTGAAACTACTTCATCTCTGGGACCTCATATAGGGTCTGTACTGACTCACAGGGTGGTATTGCACTGTGACATTTACTTATCAGCAGCTTGCAGCTGTACAGATGAGCTCCACGCATACATTGGCCTAAAATTTCAGGGACTGCTTTCTGAAGTTGTGTGATCTTTGTGTTAAACTAGAGTCGAAGAGTTATTCCATACTCATGCTTGTGAGCCTCACCTAGTAAAGCCTGAGACCACAAAAAAGAATCTGTTATCTTTTAACAGTAGTTTCGAACAGTGATCATACTGAGCATGGTGCCTGGAGAAGAAAGGAAGCTAAGATTTTGCCATTGTTGCATCAGTTTAAGGGTAGCTTTGTGATCCCCCCCTTCATTATTAAATTACAAGCTTTATGATAATGTGTGAGCTGTAATAGAGGTCTCTGTAGGCTATTTTGTGTGTCTGTAGAATCTGTACCAATGCAGAATGAAACTATTAATCACAAAGAGCTCTGGCAGCAATACACTTTGTAAGGACACTTATCCAGAGAGCCTGCTGTGTTTGAGAGTCCTATATTTCTATAGTAATGCCCCTTATTGAGTTAGCAGAATTTAGGGGAGCAATTTGAAAAGTGAAAAACAGCACTGAGGGCAGATTAGGCAATTAGATTTTCATAGGACGAGATTGAGATCAGCCCCTCTTTTCATGGGGGCTCAGCATGGAGTAGATTAAAGACAGAGTTTATGGCTATTAAAAGTGATGGATCTCTACCTTTAAAAATGCAAATTTATCTCGAGTTTATTAGAGCCAGCCACAACAAATGTGTTAGAGGCTGAGCCTCATAAATTCAAGCTGCAGTTTGTTTTGTTGCTGTAAACACCAAACTAAGGCCAATGAATGCTGAGACGTAAGAGCACCTGATTTCCCTTGCAACATTAAGGTTACTGCTATGATGTAGACTTATTATAATGAACTAGTATGGGAACTGGTTGAATGGTGGTTTTTTTGTGATTCTCATTATAATACTATTTGTTGCATCAAAGAAACACCTGCTTCAATATAAAAAACTTACAAGGCTCTTTTGGTTGCTACTTCACCATGATCCATGTTTCAATAGTTTTTTTTTTTTTTTAATAAAGAAATTTGAAATGTAAAAGCAATATATTGACAAGCTAAATTTGCATTAAGCAATGCTGGGGAAAAGCAAGTCAAAGGAGTGATTGCAGCCAGGTCAATATGTAGTGTGTTTTCAGAACAGACTGACAATGCAAAAAGTCTACTTTTGCCACTGTTCTAAATTGAACATTAACATTAGCAGGGTTGGTTTGTTGGTTGTTGTTTTTTTTTTTGTCAGAGAATTAATGTTGGAGTGTACTTACTCTATTCTGTAGTTTAGTGTATTACTGAGAACTGTAGCTGGTGAGCTTGATATCTGCATTTGAGATGCATAGTATCCTTTTGTGTTGTTTTGATAAAACCTCTGACACAATTCTCTGTACAGTATTAAGCATCCTTCTTTTTTCTAGCTCAAATGGCAGACTTTGGAAGGTGTTTTGGTTATTGGTCCTTTTTGTAACTCTTTACATGTAGAAAGAGCTTGGGACATAAAGATCTCTGTCAAATTCTATGTTTAGGAGTGGCAACTGCTCTCCTAGTACAGAAGTTGTCCCATAATCCCTGAGAGGGAATATCATGTGTGCAATACATCAGTATTAATTTGTTAACAATTTGCCATAATGGTACAGGCAGTAACACAAACCAAATGTTCAGATATATGTTCCTGTGAAAATTTTGTTACTCAAACAGGGTAAGAATAAAATGCAAAGTACTGAATGATTCTATGCTTTTGATCTTGCAGGACAGGTTCAAGGTTTTCATGGTACGCAGTAGTGATGAGCTAATACTAATACTTCTACAGCATGTATTTGTCTGTGAAGTGTTTGATCTAACATGTTGCTTGTATGGTGCATGTTCAGCTCGCCGCCTACAGCTCAGTCCATGGGAGAGCAGCATTGTTAACAGGCTCCTGATGCCCACTCACTCGTTCTTGGCCCGAAGTAAAAGCACCGCTGCACTGTCTGGAGATGCAGGTAAACCCACAGGAACAGAGGCTTCATGTCACAGACACTTATTTTTCCACATTACGTGTGAGAGGTTGTAGTTACTGATCTAATTATGAGCATATGGTAGCATCCCAGAATGAGCTTGAATGTCCATGATTACATTGCGTGACAGCATGAAAGTCTGCTTGTACAGTTGTTTGCTATGCCTCTTTCTCTGTCTCTGACCATCTCTTTCTTAATTTCTGTTGTCTCTTCATCAATGCAGTAAATGAATACAACACACACAGGGCAGCAGTGTCACACTGTCCATGGCTATCTAAGGAAATGCGCACAGTGTGAGCTCATTCAGCACACCCACTGCTAAAGCTGTGAGCTGCTTGCTGCAAAGGATAGTTTCACTATAGGCACTTTCCACATGGAGCAAGTTAGACTTGTAGAAAGATAGGCCCTGTTTGCCATGGATTTAATACATGTGAATTTAAATGTGCAGGTTTAGTGAGGTAATAATTACAAAGTTCTCTGTCAGCCCCAGAACAGGTCTCTTGATATACTTACTGAGGTGAAAATTAACATGCAGAAATGTAAAAATATTTCTAGGTGGTAACTTAAAGTCCAGGGAAAATGGTATTCCAAAGACAACCAGGGCATACTTGCTTATCATGTATTTTAGGCAGGTGACAGCTGCCTCTTCTTTTATTGTGGTATGTTTTATGATCATGCACTGTGGACTTGATAATTACAGTAGTATATTGCTGCACATGCTGAATGCTTAAGCCTAGGCAGGTCTCTCTTGTCTGATAGGACAGGATTTTTATTCTAATTAAAGGACACAGAACATAAGAAGGAATAGAGATCTGGTAAGATTACTTTTAAAGACGCTTTCACTTAAGAGCTCTTGTAAGTAATGAGGCTGCAATACAGGAGCAAAAACATAGATGATCTTCTGCAAGCAGTGGAATAGACAAGTACAGAATTCTTTTTAACTCTTCACAAACAACAGCTGGTAAAACAAATAGTTAATGTCATTTGCCAAGCAGGATATTGGAAATTCAGCTTTTTTTTTTTTTTTAGGGAAAGCACTGTCTTAATTTCGTAAGTGGTTACTTTACTGAAGCAAGCATGAAGATTTTCTTTTCAGACTGCTATTGTCGGTTCTGTGCCATAAGCTCTAAACTGAGTAGCATATTGCAAATATTGCAGGAATGACTCACTTGTCAGTTGTCAGTATGAGGTAATTCCCTGAAATGCCTTCCCTATGCTTACTGGAACTGTACCACCCAGAATAATCCATCTGCTCGTTGTTTTCCAGGTATTATTCTCTAGGAGCAATAACTGCAGTCCCTTCATGCAGGATGCTTCCTGGAGATTAATGATCAGGTGGTGGTAATGGCTCACAGCTGTGCTCTAAGCACTCAACTCATCCCAGCTTGTCATTATTCCCTAGAAAATTACTCTGCCCTTTGGCTGTAAAGATAAATTATGATGAAAAAAATCAAAATCAAATTAAATATGGATTTGTGCCCTTAAATTTTAAGTGAGCTGTTATGGACATCCAACATAAGAGTATGTCTGGCTCTTTTTTTCAAATAACCCTCTAAAACCAAGGTGTTTTTTAAATAACTCTCCACAAGCTCCTCTGAACAGATGTAATCCTATTGGTACAGCATTCCCTGGGAGTGCTTCCTGAAGCATTGCTTGGCAACATCACAAATGAAAATGATCTGCTTGTCTTTTAATACTTATGATATCATCCTTGGTGGTAACTTCAGATAATCAGCGTGCAGCGAGAGAATTGATTCACAGAATGTAGGAACCACATAAATTACGAGGTGTTTTAAAACATACATTGTGCCACTTCCTCCTATCTGGTTTAGATACACTCAACAAAAAAAAAAAATCCCCACAAACAAAAGCCCCTCTTTTCTTGTTTCTTGATTTTTATTTATTCTTTTAAGTCAGTAATTTTATAATATCTCATTAAACAGCAATTCCTATAAATGATAAGGCAATCATGAATGCTGTTGCTGTTACACTTACATGAGACGCGCTTTATTCAGAATGTTAATCTCTTGGTACAGGAGAATTTGCAGTGTTAATACTGTTAAGTCTATGAGCTCTTCCTGTAACAGCAGCTGTACCGTTGTAAAACTAGAAGAATTAACTGTATGTGGAACTGCGTTCTTTCAAGTGTGCTCAGAGAGGGATCTACAGGCAAGAAATTTTGGGAGTGCTTACCAAGTACTGAGGATGTAATTCTATTGCTTTGTAGTGGTTTTTTGGTTTTTATTTTTTTTGTTTGTTTGTTTGTTTGTTTTATTTATTTAAAGGGGGATAGGGGAGATACCATACAGATGCTCTACTTTTCCTTCCAGTAAAATGCTGAATAATAATAATGCTAAGACTTTATTAAATGACCAGGAAGGACAAACAGGAGCAGACAGATAAATCTCAGCAGTAACAACGTAGTTTTTCCTAGTCTCCTCCTTCAGTTAAATCAAGAGAAAGCCCAAGACTACCTTCCTGCAAAAAGTTCCCCATGATACATTTTGCACTGTTACAATTCTCTTTGAATGTATAATCGGAACGCTGTATATCTGATAATCTGTCATTGGCAGGAGATCTTTTGGTAATAGTCTTTTGTCCTTGTGCAAACCAATGAAAACTGCTGTCCTGGTTACTCAAATATTAATTTCTAAGTTCATTTGTTTTTAGCTTGCTTTCTGTAATGTGTAAAATAGTTTGCTTTGAAGAATGTATTTGAGTCAACTGTTATTCTGGGTTATCAAGGAATATTAAAAGTTCTTAAATGGGTGGGTTTCAAATAGAAGCCTTCAAAAAGAAAACACATCACTTGCTAAAAATCATAGACAGCAGTTTCATTGATTTCCTTGGTGTATTTCCTGGTTTGTATTTTTAATGTGTTTTGATGTTTGTGTGTGTCTCCTTTTATTTTCCTCCACTTCCAAGATCAATTAACAGGCATTCTGATTTTAGTTTGATTGTTTTCTATTCCGAATGCAACTGAAATTCATGTCAATGTATATACTAAGCCACTCAGACCAGTCATTGTGTCCACTGCTTTTTCACCAGTTGTATAAAAACTTAACAGAAAACCATCATTATTTTCTACTACTATGTGGCATATTTCTTGATGTATTCAAAATATTTAGTTTCCAAATGGAAAAGTACATAAGTGTCTATTGAAATGGTATCATTACTGCATGTGTGGCCAAGCTAGTGTATCAAATGATGGTTCTGACTTGAAAATTAGTCATTCCTCTATGTATTAATACCTTCTTTCTTTTCTGTCTTTCTCGGTTGTTTCTGTTCCTGCCGGCTTTCCTCTCTCAATTCTCCAATGCTGCTCTGTAATTAAAATTAATAAATAACAAAACCAACCAACACCGTAGTTATCCCCATTTGTCCCCGTTCAGCATCTTGCAGCCCCATCAGTCCTCTGTCCTACAAGGCCATGAACTGTAGGAATTCAGGAGACCGAACAAAACTTTATGCCTCTACTGATGCTGTTGGACGTAGGAGAACAACGCATCTTGCAGGGGTGAGTGTCTCATGCCATGACCCACTGATTGCATTGCTTGTTAGGACAGGAATAGTTGCAAAGATACTTGATGAAGTCTGATCCTCCCCTCTGTGCTGTCCCCACCCTTTCCAATTTATTTCATAGTTGGCTGGATTTTAAGTAAAATATAGTATGTTATGTGGTGATGTGGCCTGATTGTGCACCAGAGAATCCATGTAGAAAACCACCTGTGTTTTCCAAACATTCATGTTTGCAGAGTGAATGCCTTAGCTTCTCATAAGGCAGAGGCAATCACAGTGTGCATTCCTTTTCCTCAGGTGGATTCTTTGCTGCCTTTTAAGGCCTGAGCTGGTGTTGCAGCATTTCCCTTAGTGCCACCTGTTTTCCCAGCAACCTTGTTTTACAACACCTGTAGAATTTCCCATCTTCTGATAGCAAATTCAGCTGAGCCTCTGGGATAAAGAGGGGAGAAGGCATGCACTGACGTATATAAGCACATACAGCGCTATCATTTTAGCTTAACTTTCTTAGGAAAAAAGTAAAGTTTTAGCTAGTACAGTTTTCCTCATTGAGAAGGAAGAGGTTGGTTTGCAAGCAAGGCTTCCTACAGATCACCTGTTCATTCTGAATGATTTGGTAGCAGTACTATGAATGATCTGTGCTTGCAGGGAAAGTCAGAACAGTGTGATACAGGCAGACCGAATACATGTTGACTGTGCTCCAAGCCAGCAAGATGCAGTCCTCTCCAGTTCATTTGCTGAACCTGAGCACTTATATTTTCCCTTGTACCCTATGGCCTAAGTTTGTTTAGAGTGTGAGAAGACTGAAGTAATCTCTGCAAGTGATAGAAGTGTTTGCATTTTTGTTTGGCCTGGTGGGCAAAATGTAAAGAGGAAGTTTTGCTATTGACATCCTTGATGGAAGCAATGTTAATGAAAGTCACACGAATCATAGCCAGTACTTAATCTTCCAGGCAGATGGTATTGTATTGAAGTTTTAAGTTAAGGCATAGCATCGGGATGCATCTGTAGAGGAATCTTATAGTATACATGCAATACGTATAATGCATTGCAATCTCCACAGCTATCAGTTTAACACCTCTTGGCTCTTTTTGCAACTGGTTTGAGTTTTGGGGAGTTTTGTGTTGTGTGGTGAGGGTTTTTTGTTTTGTTTTGTGGGGTTTTTTTTTGTTTTTAAAGAAGAAAGGTTAGTACATTTTGGTGGAGAATGCATTATAAAAATGTTAATACAAATGGGACTGAGTTAACTGCGTTTTCAGTAGCCTGTATGGTAAGGAGAATCTTTTTATTCTTCTATAAACTTTTGTAGAAATTCAGCTTTTTACTTTATTGATGTTAAGAATAAAATTCTGATGCTCTGTTTTTGAGACTAACAAAGTAGATCCAGTACAGAAAGTTATTGCTAGTGAGCCGAAATTCTTGTTTATTTTAGTGCATTTGTTCTGGTTTGTATGCTTTGATAACTCAAATGATTATCATATGAATCAGTAGATATCTGGTAAATTGTACTGCCAGAGAGCTGGCTTGAGTAATGAATTTAGGATTGAGACCATCTATTGCTAATGCTAAGTTGTGGTTTTGGCAACTTTAATTGTAAACATGATGGTCAAAAAACTCCTGTTGGATTGAGGAATATAAACCAAGCATGCATGCACTCATGAAGTTTTTTTCAGTCCTTCTTTTCCAGTTGATAATCTGGTTTTCAGTTCAGGAGATGAGCATGGCAGAGCTCTCAGCTAGTGAGGCTCTAAAGCAGTCTGGTGCACATGCTGCAGGGATTGTGCTTAAGGCCCAGCCAAGGTGGTGGCCAGGAGCCCCTCTGCATTATGTTGGCTGACTCGCAGCTCAGTGACCTTTCCAGTATTCTCACTTCTCAGACTCCTGTACTCTGAGCTCACTATTCCAAAAACCTCCAGTTTTTCATCTATAGTTAGAATAGATAAAGTGTATAGATGCCTAAATTCTGATACATTACTTTAACCCAATAGTTCTATTAATACAAAATAGAAATACATATATATATAAATCCTAAAATGGAAAATGAGGAAATTGCTACCATGTATAAGAATCAATGGCAAGAAAAATATGTGGTGTGAAATCATCCACGAAGAAAAAGAACAGGATAAATGTCGTACCGTCTAACTATTCTACGATTCTATGTTTGAGGGCTTTGAGTCTGTAGTGTTCACATAGGAGTATGAAAGCAAAAACCTTGTGCTATATATGGGCTGTGACTAAGTGTGAGTCTGGGGGTGTGTGGGGGTGTGTTTTTCTCTTTCTTCAAGTGAAATCCTGGGATTATGGGAAGTAGTAGAAGGTACTTTGTGGGAATCAGCAAAGATCAAACCTTAAAAGGTAATTTTTTGCCTGTTAGAAAATAGGCCTCTGCAAATTAGCTATTATGCCTTAGGACAGTAGAGAACATGATTAAGAAGGATTCTTGTTGTCAAATGCATATTTACTGTTAAAGATGGTGACAGATTACAGGGTCTGTATTAATGAACTTGTTAAACAGGCTGTAGAAACTGCTGACTCAGCACTGCTTTTTCTCAGCCCCCCCCCTCCCCCCCATCCCTTCATCCTTAACTGAGCTTGCTTTGCTTTCTTTAGCCATGTGAACTCTGGCTTGACTTTTGTCTTTTTGTTTGCTGAACTATAGACTGACAAAAAAGAAAAAGAGAGAGACCATTTGTCATCCAGCTTCTCAGCCAGCTTTAAAGGAGGTCATTTTTCTTCCAACCCCAAAGCTAGATCACCAGCTCCCTCTCCAGTTTGGTAAGCCAAGTACACGCTTAGCTGGAGGTTGAGCTATAGGCAGCTTTGATTGTTCTATTAATTAAATGTGAAATAGTGCAAACTTATTTGGTGATGTAGATGTTTTCTCTCTGCAACAAAGGAAAGAGTTCTGCTTTTAGAAAAATATTACTACTGCTCTGAGGAAAGGGAAGGAGGAGGAAGATACTGATTTCTTCCCTCCTGGCTGGGCTTGGTGCTCATACATGTGGAGAGTTGCAAAGAGAAGCATTTTGCATGAAAGTAGTGAGATTCTCCAGGAGTCCTGCTTGATAGCAAAGAAATAGAGATGCTGTTCTATTTTTAGCCATTGTAGTTGTAGAAGTGATGTGTAGGTGGTGTCCAGCAGAGCATGTGTGATGGTGATTATCGCTCTTTGGTTACACAGGCATGCATCGAAGTCTTTGCCTTTTTTGCCTGGCACACCCAAGCAGATAAATTCCCCACCTGGTTCCTCCAGAGTTTCCTCTGCTCAGGCACGTCCTCCTTCTCCTGGCAACATCCGGCCAGTCAAAAAAGAGGTCAAGCCAGAGAGTGAGAAAAAAAGATCAGAAAAGGAGGCTGAAAAGGCCAATGAGGAGAGGACAGAAGAGAGTAAAGGAGCTTCAGCAGGTACTGGAGAAGCTGCAAGTCGAGAAGAACTTGCTGTCCAGGCAGAGCTCCCTCAAGGTAAGAATAGAGCCTCCTTTAGGTTAAGGAATATCTACAGTCTGTTATATTCTTCCCCTCCTCTCTCTGAAATGATGTAGCTTTCAGTACTTTTCTATCAAAAATTAAGTTCTTCAGAATATTCCTACAGATGTATGTTCATTGAGAAATCTGTAAACAGGTTGAAGCTCTCCTGTTTGTAAAAGTCGAAACAACATGCGCAGTGTGACTTCCCAGCCCTCTTCTCTGCCTTTTTGGACTAGGATTTTGTCCCTCACATCATGACACTACTTCTTTTCAAACCACTGAAGTAGAATAATAGTGGTCTGAAGACAGAAAGCCATTACATAACGTAGTGTGAGCAGTGAAAATGTCCACCTGTGCTAGACACTCAGTACAGTTGTACCGATAACACCACCAGCTTAACTGTGATATTCCAAGAGTACCACGCCATGGGACAGATTAGCAGGATAAAGTGGAATGCAGAGGAGGGGTACCAGGAGGGGTACCAAGAGAAGAAAAAGCAGAATTTTTCAGGGAAAATGAGTTGTTAAAGAACAGAAAACAAAAGAACCCTGAAAAGCAGCAAGGCAGAAAAGGATGTACACACAAAATAAAATAACACTTCTAAAGTGTAGGAAGGGCAAAAGCTAAATATGAAAATGGAAAGTGTAGGTTTGTTCTAGCACACATCTTAACCCATTGTAAATACAACATAAACTGTCTGCCTTGCAGATGTGATGGAATGACTGTTGTGACCCCTGGGATTCCCGGGATGGGTTACTTAAGATTCTGAATTTGAAATTCGTAGATTCCCCTGTGATTGTCCTTAAGAAAACAGTTTCAAGCATTAATAATTCTGTATTTAGCTGCATGATTTGTAGTTGAGGGTTGTTCTTCTGCAAGAAGACCAAAGATTGAGGCTTTTTACATGTGAGGTTAGAGGGGACAGGCTTTGTACTGCAGATGGAGGCCCAAGCTGCCAAAACATAGCCACTGGTTGAATGTAAGAATCTAGAGAGGGGCAAGTGCGGCGTCTGGGGCTGGACAGACACTGCTGATACTCCTTGGTGTGTGCTGCAGGTGAACATAGGTGATTTCTGTGAATTACCTGCACTGGTCTTTAGCCTGCCTAGCTCAGCTACCTGCTAGCAGTATAGTCACAGAAGCCTGGAGGTCAGCAGGTGTTGATCACTGACAGAGCTATTCAAACTTTTGCAGGCAAATATCACATGATTTTACTAATGACAACGAACTTTTAAAGGTATTTTGGGTGTGCCTGTGCAAGCTGTTGTCATCTTTCCTGAAAGCAGGGCAGAGGTGCATTAAATGGGCTACTTGTTACGCTGCCAGCTTCAGCACCTGAGGCAAGAAGTGAGCCCTAAGCAGCACAAAACTGTGCTCCCTTCAGGAGAGACAGCCCTACCTTGGCCCATGTTAGCAAATTACAAAGGATCGAGTTGTAGGAACTCTGTCATTTATACTATTTAACTTTTACAAAAGCTGTCTGGTATGTTTCTGTTTGAGGCTGTAATTAAAGCCCCACATTTTCTTACCTTCTGTCCCCAGGGCTTCTAAGAGTATAGCTCTAAAGGGGTCCCAGGTTTTAAAGTGATCAAATTACCTACCTTTTTATATTTGACCATGCCAGAATTTTCTGAGTTCCTAGCTATATCTTGGAGGTTAGCCCAGGCCTGAGCTGTTCCCTAGGGGTGGACTGAATACCTGGTTTGGTCATATGAGACAGTAGTGCTCTGGCTGAGGCTAAACTGCGCCAGCTCACCTCAGGCCTAGAGAACAGCTCTAACTCTTTAGATTACTGGTGTACATGTATCATTTGAGTTCAAGGTGAAAGCCCTGAAGCAGTTATAGAAAGACCTGCATAGTTTTTAGTTGACAGAAGAAGAGAGGATAGAGGTCAGCAGGTGTGACCATTCAGCACAGAGAAAGCAGTTGAATTTGTGTTTGTATACATGACAAGGCGTAGGAACAGGAAACTGGGGAGGAAACCCCTCTTGGAAGTTTTGTGAGGTGAGGAAAACACTGTAACATGCCAAATGGTGATTAGAAATGGAGATTTAAATAATCTCCTGGCTGTTCCTGATAACTTATACTACGTATATCTTCCCAGGACTGGAATCTGATTTCCATTTGCAGTTCGAAGTCTTCCCTATCCATGTTTGTCTGTTACCAGATGTGATTACCCTGGCAATGCTTCCTTCAGTTAGCTTGTGGGTTGGTGATGATCCTTGGCCTCTAGAGAAAAAGTGCAGCTGAGGCATGCTCTAGCTGTGCTAGGGAATGCCAGGCAAACTTCCAGAAACATGAACTAGTGTTTTACTTGACGAAAAGCCTGTAGCACCTTCTCTAACCAGCTTCTCCTGGACACAGGATTTATCTGAATTATTGAGATCTGAACATAAGCCATAGTTCACCAATAATGGCAAAGCTTGTTGAGAAGCTGTGCTCTGGTCCCACAAGTTGCCTCAGGTTGGTAATTGCAGAATTGATAATATCTTGCGTCCTACCCTTATTGCAGATCACTTCAGACAGCTGACATTTGAGACCACCAAATCCCCAAAAGCTACTGGCCTACCACCAAGAAGTCTGGCTGTGCTCTTCAAATATAGACTACCAGACAGAAGAAAATATAATACCACAATGTTTCATTTCTGCTTTGTAAATAGTTTTGGGTAAACCTAAGACATGCAACGGTAGGGACTTGCTGAGTCAGCATAACTCCTGATGAGCATCCATCAACATTTATTCTTCTGACAGAAAAGTTGGCTTAACCTTTCAACTGCAGCAGCTTTGTCATATCCTGTAAAACCAAACTTCCCTTAAGGAATATACATCCCTAGCACCTAGAAATGTCTTCCATCTCTGAATTATTTATAAAACCACATAAGCTTGGAAATACCTATTTGAACCTATTTTCTGCTCCTTTCAAGAGGGTGTCATCTTGTTTATTGTGTCTGTACAAACTAGTTTTCCTTCCATCTGTTTTAGCAGCCAGCCCATCACTTCCTCCTGCTCCGCCAGCTCTTTCTCCACCCCCAGCCCTCACAAAGACCTCTGCAGGTACAACTGACCCTGAAGAAGCAACAAGGCTGCTGACTGAGAAGAGGCGCCTTGCCCGTGAGCAGCGGGAACGGGAAGAGCAAGAGAGGAGAGAGAGAGAAGAGCTTGAAAGGTGATTATAGACCTCTGCAGTGGAGAAGATCTGTTTTTAGCAGCCTCCTAGCAGCTTCTTGTGTATATTCTGTTGTTATTCTGTGATACATGAAGCACAGTATTCAAGTGCAGGAGGCATGAGTTCCTCCCTGGAAATGATTTTCCTATTGGGATTTTTTATAGATGCAATATATATAGCTAAGCAGATCTGTAAGGTTAAAACTTATCCCAAATAGTGTTTTAAAATAGGACAAGAGGAAAAAGCAGATCCTTGCTGTAGTGATTCATTGTTTCCTCAGAGATTAGCAAAGCTATACTTGTCTGTTACAGCTGGAGAACTCTGCACAGCTATTTCCAGTTTTGTGATTGGCATGTCTCTTAATTTGAATTGTAAGATCTCCACCATGGGGGGTGTTTTGGTGTCCAACAGCTGTCTCTTTAAACATCTTTTTTTTTTTCTCATTTAAAATCAAGACACCCTCCTAACAGTTTTGAAGGTTAAGAGATGTTGTGTCTCATTTTCTACTAGGAAACAAGTAGCTCATCTGTATACTTATGGCTGTGCTGTGACACGAGTGCCTTTTTAGAGGGATGCCATGCATCTGGAATTTTATTGTGTTCTTTAACAACATTTCTGAACATAGGAACAAGGCAGAGCCAGTTGAAATAGCCTGGCTTTCCAAAAGACTCACATGGTCCCTCTCAAAAGGCTTTTAAAGAAAACAAGTTGCATAAGAGTAATATGGTGAGTAAACACTAAGATTAAAAGATGGAAAACCAAAGGTAAAGAATAATCAGCTTTCACAGGGAAAGGAGTTTTCAGTGTCTTTGCAGTGCCTTCATAAATGAACTTGAAGGAAGTTGTGGCCAATGAGATATTGCTCGCCAGACATATCTTACGTTGCTGAGGTACAAATCAGAAGCTGGATTGCAGTACTGTTAAACATAAAGCAATGTGTATGTGTAAATAATCCCAACTTAACTCAGGTGGTGGTGGTCGCTGGGCTGATTATTTCTGAGGGAAGTGATCTTGTTTGAAGTTGAGTATATGTAAGTATCAAGTGAGTCACGGTCAACAAAATAAATGAACTGTTACAAATGAGATGCCTACAAATTAATAGAAAAGGAGAACAAGATGAAAATGTCATTCTGAACTAGCTAAGGTGAATCTGCCTCTTGAATGTTCAAGTTTATGTTTTTTGAGATAGTAAAATCAATAAAACTATGAAAGTAAGTGCCGACAGACATTAAGGAAGATCACAAGTATAGAACAGCTCCTATATGAAAATCTACTAAAGAAGTGAGGATTCTTCAGCTGGCAAGATTCATCTGTGCTCTACTTCTGAGGATATGATAGGCTACAAAGTCATAAAAAATGTGGGTAGCATCAAAGGTGAAGGGGGAAAGTTACAGAGTCCCATAACGCAAGGATGAGGGGGCATTAAGTGAGGTTAAGAGGCAGTGTTCAAAAATCATAAGAATTATATACTTTTTAAAAAAACTTTTTAAAATTTAAAAATTGCTGCAAGATAAGATGGGTGCCAAAAATGTATACTATTTCAAAATATGATGAAATAAAATTAAGAATGAAGTGCTTTGCAAGATGTATTAAAGTTGATGATACTGGTTCTGATTCAGAGAGTGTGTGAGTGGAAGCATGTGCTGAAGTATTGGTGTTGCCTTGCAAAGTTGTTTTTGCTCCATAGAGGTTCAGCTTTGGCCCCTTCTGGAAGCAGAGCAGACAACTTATGGATGAGACAGTAGTGCAACCTTCATACAGTTGTTCTGCAGTTCTAGTGTCTTGGGTCAGGAATCTGGTGGTTTGGGGGTTTTCCCTCCTTTTTTTACTTAATTTTCTTGCACTTGTTTCACAATTGCAGGCAGAAGAAGGAGGAGCTGTCACAGAGGATAGCAGAAGAGCGAGCTCGCCGGGAAGAGGAAGAGGCTCGCAGACAGGAAGCAGAAAAGAAACGGAGGGATGCAGAGGAGGAACGGGAAAAGGAAGAGCAGCTGCGCAGACAGGCAGAAGAGAGAGAACAGAAGGAGAAAGAAGAGAAGGAGCGCATTCAGAAACAAGTATGCTTACCTCCTGGAACTTCCCTGCCGGTCTGGCTGGCAGTGAAGTGGATGAGGCAACACTCTTATGCAGCACCTAGATTAGAGGATTATCTAAAATTTAAATGCTATATAAAAAGTGAATAGTTTAGGGGCAGAGTTCATTCCATATAGTCATTCAAAGAGTAAAGATATTTCTTCTTGACAAAAACATATGGTAGGGAGTTGAGTTTTTGTTTTGGTGGTGTTGGGGGTTCTGTTGTTTTGGTTTTTGTTTGTGTTTTGAAGTTTTATTGGTTTGGGGTTTTTTTTAATTCTGTTTTGGTTTTGGTTTTGATTGTGTTTGGTTTTGGTTTGGATTTTTTTTGTTGTTCTTTTGATGGTGGGTTATTTGTTTTGGATTTTTTTCCCTGTAGAATTTATTTACTTACAAAAAAAATCCTTTCCTATTCCTGATAAATTGTGACAGATAAATCAATGGAGTTGTATCAGGGGATTTTAATGAATGGTGTTATACCAGAGAGCACTTTGTCCACACAGTTATAGAAAGTCTAGATGCCAAGATGACTATTTAGAGTGTTGAAAAGGCATAGGTTTTGATCACTTTAATCAAGGCTCACACAGTCCTCCTGAAATCAGAACAGCTACTCAACAGACATGAGAGTAAACAAATCAAAATACAATTTTTCGAGTGCTCTCATTTTTGATGGGCATAATGTTGGTTTACCAACTTCAGGAGAGGCTGTGGTAAGTATTCTGGATAGGATTCTTTTTTATGCATGTGCCTTTACTTTTTGTGTGCTTTCTCCTCCCCCAGAATTCAGCACTTCAGTCTGCCTCATAAACATTATGTTTTTCTTATGGTATATCATTAAATGTATGCTTCTGAAAAGAAATGTTTAAAGAATTGTGTTAGTGATTGCAACTTAGAAACTGCAGTTCACTTTTTCAGATGTATGCTGCTTTCTTTGAAATGCTAAGCTGACTTATATCCATGGTTTAGCACTTGGAAATTGTGTATGGCCAAGTTTTCTGCGTGTTACAGCCATTACAAGTGAACTGTTGCAGTAGTTCCATCATACACCACTGTTATTGTTAGGGATCAAGGCCTCTCTACAGTATATTCCAGGAAAGTTTTGCATTTAATTCAGAAGAGCAGGAATGGAAAGCTTGTGCTAATGTTTCTGTGACTGTTACTCCTTTGTGTCATTAAATGACTCTATTGGTCAAATAAAACATTCTACTGCTTTTGTTTTACTCTCAAAAACATCCACCACTCAAAACATGAATCTCTTTAATACTTTCCTGGCTTTTGTTTCAATGCCAAAGGTTAGAAATTTATTCCTTATTTATCATTTGGTGTGATTTCATGCATGTGCTCTTGAACAGGCACAGAACCAAATATGATGTCCATTGTTTAGTTATGCATCTCTTAATGCTATGCAAAATATGGAAATTAATCAGTTCAGTCTTTAAAGATTGTTGGTAACTTCTAAACCCCAAAAGTATCTTTTCAGGGGGTTGTAGAAATGCACAGTTACGCAGATATCAGTGTAATTAAATAATGAATTATTCCTTACTGCTTTTTCTTTCCCCATCAACTCAGAAAGAAGAAGAAGCTCGCCTACGGGAAGAGGCAGAGCGGATTCGATTAGAACGTGAAAAGCATTTCCAAAGAGAAGAGCAGGAGCGCTTGGAAAGGAAGAAGGTAACTCAGTACATGCAGAGAAACTGCAATTCGTTTTGCTTTAGCAGTTTGTTTCCACCTCAGCTGTAGAAAGTTATCCATGGTAGCAATGTACTGTTAGAAAAGCTGCAGTCCTTATCTGCATAGTCTGATGGGAATGGAAGATCACCAACATAAATAAATAATTCATCTTTTTTGCAATAAACAGATGCAACAAGCAGTTGTGGTTTGGGAGAGAGATTTTTGAATTAGTGACATTGAACATAATTTTACCCCTTTACGTTCCATTGTAGAGGCTTGAGGAGATCATGAAGAGAACTAGGCGTGTAGAAGCAGTAGATAAGGTCAGTGCTGCTACTTAACATGTGTAAACATTGGACACATTTCACTTCTTTTCCCCAGTGCCATTTTTAATTTGCAAAACTGTGCTTCCTTTGTAGAAAACCAGTGATCACCAAAATGGACATATATCAAAGGCAAATATTACTGGAGAAACAGGTATTGTGTTTAACTGTGCCCTGAGCACAACAGGTGAATAAATGCTTCTAAGCACAATGATTTGAGATACAGTTCTGAAACTTTGTCACAGTAATTGCAGAAAAGAAAACTGAGAGGACTAGAACTGAAATCTTTGCAAACATCATTTAGCCTTTCTGTATGGGTAGTTAGCCTTTACTAAATAAGTCAGCTGTTTTAACAACTTTGTCACGTCGGTGTTTAACAAAAGCAAGTTGCCTACCGAGTTTATTTATGAAGTGAAAAGAAGGAAATTATCTTCTGGTTTTGATCACAGAATAGTTGGACATATGTGTAGTGCTACACATGTAGTCGTTGCAGACTTACTGAATTTTCTCAAAGGATTATTTCATCTCAGTCATCAAAACAAATTGTTCATTATTCTAAACATCTCCCTGTGACTTTTGTCCATACCTGCTGCCTTATTCACTTGGTCTTAATTTATTCCCTACCCCCACTTCCCCAAAATTCATCTCCTACAAAAGCTTAGTCTTTCTGTCACACCTGCATTCTTAGTCTTTCCTTCTGTTCCGTCTTTTTTCACTGGTCATTTTAGGTAAAGTTTTTTATAAGAATTTAATATTTACAATAAAGGAAAAAAAATGTACCTCATAGTCAGCAATCACCAAGTATGAATTAGCACTACTTGAGATACTGAAGTCAAGCTATCAAATGGCTTATCCCATTGTAGCATAACGTATTAAATGACATTAGTCTTCTTTGTATTTAGTTGAGTAACAGGGAAGACAAATAACAGCACTGGCTGACGTACAACTTTGTTCTAGATGTTAAAAGTGAACACTGTATTTAGCACTACCAGGAAACATTTTGACACAGATTTCATTATGTGTGTTTGGAAGTTATTTGTTTACATATTATCTTGGGAGGGGTGGGGGACTGAGGGAGAGAAGGTGCTATAAACCATTTAAGTGTTCCTTGAAGCTATACATAGCTCTATAGCCTGTGGCTAATGCTTTCCCTCCAGAAGTAGAAGTAGTCAATTTCCTAAGACATAGGAGAGTTTGGACCTCCATTTCCCCAGGCCTGAGGGAAGTCTGGAGTCCTTGAATGACAGAATAAAGAGAAAATTGCCCTCACCCTCAGGGCTGCTCTGCTGTTTGGCTTTGCTTTACCTAGATATGCTATTGAGTCAAAGGTAGGTATTAACAGAGATATTTCTGCTAATTAACTTTCCACACTATGTGCTAGCAGACTTCTGATCTTAAAAAAATGGTGATTTTTTTTTTTCCCCCAGAAAAGTATGGTTTTAGTCTTACTGTTTGGCAAAACCTGAAGAGGCCTTTACATGAATGGCTGAATTGCAGAAGGAAACAAAATCCATCACCTTTTTGTCATTTGTTTGGCCTCTGCTTCAAAATAGGAGCTAGCTCTGCATTTCCAAAGCAGAGCAAGTTTATCTTCTGCCTTTTCTTTTTAATGTTAATTCCAATGTATTTTCTTCTTACTACACTGTAGAAGCACCAGACCCTGTATTTCTGATATTCTCCTTACAAAAACTTGCCAAAGATCATACTAAAACATTTGGTATAGAAGATTTCAGCCCAAGAATTTAAAGCATAGCAAAACAGAGCAGCTGAAGAAGTGGTTTACCAGAGGGGGTTTTGGGTAACCAACTTAAATGTGTCTAAGCCTATGAGTATTAAATTGTTCTTGCAACTATTCAAACAGATAGTATGGATGGAGTGCAATTACTTCCTTTTACTGACTTGCATGTGAATTGGTGTGGCTGTACACAAGTATATACAATGAAGAAGGCTGTAGTTGTATTTCAAAAGAACATCCTGAGGCAGATCAGTGACATCTGTCATGTGGTGTCTCTATGAGGCACAAAGATAGTCTAATTTTATGTTACTCTCTACAACATTTTATAGTAGTGATTTGGTACTTGTTGAAAGTATCCTTGCCATGGAGATTTTATTTCCTCTTGATTTCCTTTTGGGCTACAGTCAGAGATCAACACGGGAACCAAGAAATACCAGAGTATGGAACTCATGATGTCCCAGAGTTCTGTTTTCTATTGCTGCTTGAAAAGTGCTAGCATAATATCAGATATCAATCTATTTTGACCACTGGCTTGCATTTTGGAATTGTGTGTGTCCTTGTAAAATGTTTATTCTTGTCTGTTAAGCTACAGCTTTGAAATCTGTGGCATTTAAAAGGACCTGAAAGAGGGTATGTGTGCCAAAAAGCTTGTCAAAGGAGGTGGGGTGGGAGAGAGAGAGGCGCAAGAACTCTATTTTTAATCTATAGCTTGCCTTGACTGTGCTGTCTTCTGTAGGAAGTGTTTTAGCCTAATCTGCAGGTAAATGATTGTGTTCTTTCTCTAGTCATAACAAGTCCTGCATCTCCCTCGGAACCTGCAGGAGATCCTCAGCTTCAGCATGTAACAACATCTCCCCACAATGGAAAACCAGTCACCTGCCCACATGTGATCGTCTCACATCAACCCTCCGTAAATATGGACAGGTAAGAACACTGTGAAGTTTTGGAGGATGGCTAGAGCACGAGGGTTACTAAAGTGATAAATTATTTTGAGATCCATATATTCATTAAGTAAATGAGACAGCTGTTCAGTCAGCCTTGTTTGCTGTTTATCTTTTTCTGAACCCAGAAAAGACCTTTATCATCTTTCACTTAGCAGTAACCTGGTTTTGCCAACTGATAGGGAAGAGTTTTGTGAAAATACAGCACATTCTTTGCAATGTATATCTGGAAAACGTGTTGTTTTCCAGCAAATTTTACATAAATTTAAACTTAATGGAAAGGGCAGTTTTTTTCTGTTCCTTTCCATGAATTCAGCTTCATAAAAACTCTCTATTTGCAGTGCTGGTTTTCTTGATTGGAATAATGAACATTGAGCTTTCAGCCTAGATGTTTCAATTTCTGAACTGCTTGAAGTATTAGCAAGTTTTGCTTACTGAGCAAAAGTCCCTCATGTGAGATACAGAACTACTCATGTTGGATTTGCCTTTAAAAAAACCCTTTGTCCTCTATAAGGGGAATTTAGGAGCAAACATTTGACATCTTTGAGAAATTGTTGAAATGTTTGAAACTTCAGTGGTGAACTGAGTGAAATCTGTTGCATAAGCATGAGCTGTCAGTTATTTCAATTCTCGTAATGCAGAAAGACAAATAATCCCTTAGTCCTTTTATGCAGGTAGTGCCAGAATATGCATGGAAAAACTTGAATGTGAGAAGCCATGTCACTGTCTGTAATGGGCAGTATGCTTTAGGGTGTGATTGGCACTAATTGAAGGAGGAATTCGCCCTTTCTTGCTCCCTCAGTATGCCTGGGGGATCTTAGCCTGCTGTCAGGCTGACAAGGGTGCTCCTGCTGATGGAAGCTCTGTCAGTGACACTGAGCACTGAGCTGGATTGGATAAGCTGCACAGAGCCACCTCATAATTGTCTCGAGCAGCTATTAAATGTTAATCACTCCCAGCCTTACATGCACCTTGATGTTTGTAACATAAAAGTGCCACACTAGTAAATGCTGTCCCGTAGCATTATAATCCAGGGAGGGAACCTCAGAATGGCTAAAAGGGAAGAATGAATAAATGAGGTTGAGGAACAGCGACACAAGTGGAAGTGTGTATCAGGCTGTGGAAGAGGAAGATGGTATGCTAGGTTGGAGTGTGGAGGGACTCTTTAGAGGTACATCCATGTTGACTGGGAAGGTGAAGGGTGAAGCATTTGATAGCATGCCAGTGTAAGTTTAGCCCAGCTAGCTTGAAAAGCTGTTATAAGGAATACACAGCAGCACAGATTTTTATCCCACGTTAAGGGTCACAGGTGCCAACACCACTGCTAGCACATCTCATGTGCTGTGGTTGTGTGGCACCAAGGTATAGCTGCTCTTGTAGCACACACACAGCAACAGGTGGAGATGGTCTCGTGTGAGCACCTCACTCCAGGCCCAAGACAGATTTGCCTTTTGTCTGGAAGGGACTTGAGCTTGTCCTAAAGGCAAGATAGCTCAAATTTCTGACTAAAACTTAAAAAGGCTTTGCCTGGGGGCAAAGCACAGGCCAGTGCTTTGTAGGGGCAAGAGGAGGGAGTAAATACTTCACAGTCCGCTGTTCCTGCTTTTGATCAGCAGTCATCTTGTACTTCATTAGCTTTCCAAGACAACTGGATCTTCATAAACCCTAATGAAAATGCTGTGATCTGCTGCATTATTTACTGTATATCTATTACCAACAAATATTATTAATAAGCATTTATTGCAGATGATAGATTGGTGCAATCATCTATCCCACCTAATAGTTTGTCAAAGTTTTTATTATTCCCACTCCTATGTTTGAAACAAATGAATATCAATCAGTTTTCCTTAATGCTTCTTCACTTTGCATTGTGAAAGAAAAAAAACATATACACTTGCTTGTGAATTGAGCTGTTTTCCCATGTTAGTACTCAATGTTTTCAAATAGATCTTATAACAATTTTTAGTTCTTACAAACAATTTCTTTTTTCATAGTTATCTGAGTTAAAATGACGGTGTCTGAATGTGAACATGATTTTTGTGGTAGGCAGTTTCAGTGATGCTGTAAGGGTTCCAATTTTGCCATTTATGATCGCTCTGTCTTCTTCACAAGTAAATTCAGTTAAGCAATTTAATGCTCAAATGCTAATGAACAATACTGAATTATTATTGGGGAGGGAGGCAGGGAGTGACCTTATATCTGTCCTAAATGTGGTGAGAAGACTCACAATTGAACTTAAATGAAGATACTTCTCAAATCAGGTGCAGTACAATGGAAAAGGTAACACAAAATATATTTTAAAATGGAGTGTACCATGAAAATTTTCCAGTAAGATACTAAAGTATCTAGAGTTATCAAGAAAGCTGGTAGTTCTACAATATTATTAATGGCATGTTGACGTTTGGCTAAATTCTGGGGTTTGGTGTATTTTTCCAACAGTGGAAAAATTAATTTGAAACATTCATCTGAAAATAAGATATAACATTAAAAAGGGTATCCCCAGTGCTGCATTGGACACTGAGACATTGCTAAGAATGTCACATCAGCATCATCATCATCATCATCATGGCTTGACTTTGCGAATGAAGATTTGGGAAGGGCTTTACCCACGCTTACTGCAAGCACACTGATGACTAAAAATGCCAATGTGAGATAGGCAAATCTGGCTACAAAAAGCACAGCAGGTCTCCTTGGGTGGTATGGACAGGGCACGATTCTTTCTACATTGTCTTTTCTCCTCGAAATCATTCTGTGTAAGTTCTCAAAGGAGACAACAGCATTATGTATGGTGTGCCTCCAAGTCTCCCGATTGAAGGCCAAGGTGGACCACTGATGGTAGTCAGTATGGCCAAGGCTAAGGTATTGTTTCAGGGAGTCCTTATATCTCTTCTTTGGGGCACTTCTCTTGCGGCTACCAGTGGCAAGTTCACCGTAAAACACGATCTCGGGGTGGCGGTGATCCTTCATTCTAGAGACATGTCCTGCCCAGTGCAGCTGCAATTTCAGCAATGTGGCCTCGATACTGGTGACCCCTGCCTGTTCGAGGACAGTGACATTAGACACATAGTCAGTCCAATGGATGTTTAGAATTGTACGGAGGCAGCGCTGATGAAAGCGTTCCAGGAGTCGCAGGTGATGACGGTAGATGACCCACGATTCAGACCCAGCTAAAAGAGTAGACAGTACGATGGCTCTGTAGACACTGATCTTTGTACTTTTCTTCAGGTGTTTATTGCACCAGACTCTTTTATGGAGCTTTCCGAAGGCTCTATATGCCTTTGCTATTCTGTTGTCTATCTCTTTTTCAATTGTGGCATCCGAGGAAATAATGCTTCCCAGATGGCTGAACTGCTGAACTGTCTTAAGCTCTGACTCGCCAATGGTAATGTGGGGATGGAGATAATCTTCTTGTGGTGCAGGTTGGTAGAGAACTACTGTCTTCTTCAAGCTGACTTCCAGCCCAAAAACCTCAGCCGCCTCCGCAAAGCAAGATGTTAAATGCTGCAGAGCTGCTTCTGTGTGGGCAACAAGGGCAGCATCATCAGCAAAAAGCAGTTCACGGACAAGATGATTTAGGTTCTTAGTGTGGGCCTTCAGTTCCCTTAGATTGAATAGGCTCCCATCGGTACGATATCGAATATAAATGCCATTTTGTTCGTCGAGGTCTGCCATAGTCCTTTGGAGCATCATGCTGAAGAAGATTGTGAATAAAGATGGTGCGAGAACGCAACCTTGTTTCACACCATTGGTTATTGGGAAAGGCTCAGAGAGTGCATCACCATACCTGACTTGGCCTTGCTGATCCTCATGTAACAGAATAAACATTTTGAGGAACTTCGAGGGACAACCTAATTGTTCCAAGATCAGCCACAGGCCTTTTCTGCTCACAGTGTCAAAAGCTTTGGTGAGGTCAACGGAAGTTACAGAGCCCTTATTCTGTTCTCTACACTTCTCTTGCAGTTGTCTGAGAACAAATACCATGTCTGTGGTACTTCTATTAGCTCTGAAACCACACTGACTTTCAGGTAGAAGTTCTTCTGCGATAGTGGGTACTAATCTGTTCAATAGTATTCTTGCAAGAATTTTTCTAGCAATGGAGAGCAGAATTATACCTCGGTAGCTTGAGCAGTCTGACTTGACACCTTTTTTCTTATACAGAGTGACGATGATTGCATCACAAAAATCTGATGGTAATTTAACTTGTTCCCAACAGCACACAAGTAGCTCATGAAATTTAGCATGAAGTGCTTGGCCTCCCTGCTTCCATATTTCAGATGGGACTCCATCAACTCCAGCTGCCTTGCCAGTTTTCACCTGCTGTATAGCCTTAAGAGTCTCACCCATGGTAGGGGCTAAATCCAATTCATTTTTCACCGGATGGTGTAAAACGTGCTGGATTCCTGCACCTTGGACAAGACAGTTAGCACTAAAGAGTGTTTGAAAATGTTCAGACCAACGATTCAGGATGGAGATTTTATCTGTAAGAAGCGTTTGGCCATCTGCATTAAGGGGCTTTGAACCTGGTATGAGGGTCCATACACTGCTTTCAGAGCCTCATAGAATCCTCTGTGGTCACCCAAATCTGCACATAGTTGAGTCTTTTCTGCTATGTTGAGCCACCACTTGTTCTGGATGTCTCGAAGTTTCTGTTGGAGTTTGCTACATGCAAGACGAAAGACTGCTTTTCTTACATGGCAGAGTGGCTGAGCGAGGTGCACTTGATAAGCAGATCTCTTCTTTGTCAGCAGTTCCTGGACCTCCTGGTTGCTATCATCAAACCAGTCTTTGTTTTTGTTTAAGGAGAACCCAATGGATTCCACAGAGGACTGCAGGATGCTATTTTTAATATGTTGCCAAAGCGCTTCAGGAGAAGGATCTATGAGCTGGTCTTCAAGCCTAGTCTGAAGGTTAGCCTGAAAGCTGTCCCTCACTGCAGCTATTTGGAGACTATTAACACTGAGCCTCCTCCTCGGAATGCCACCCCTCTTAGGTTTGGGCTTGAAGTGGAAGTTTGCAAGGCACAAGGCAGTGGTCTGTTTGACATTCTGCACTAGGCATCACTCTGGTGTGACAGACATCACGAACATTTCTCTGGCGCACTAAGACATAATCAAAAAGGTGCCAATGTTTAGATCGAGGATGCAGCCAGGTTGTCTTCCAGCTGTCTTTCTGCTGGAAAATAGTGTTCGTGAAGGTAAGCTGCTACTCTGCACAAAACTCTAGTAAGAGATGACCGTTATCATTGCAGCTGCCAACACTGTGCTTGCCTAGTACTCCTTTCCAGGCTTCAGAGTTCTTACCTACTTGGGCACTGAAGTCACCAAAGATTATGATCTTATCTTCTATAGAAACCTTTTGAGTGAGGTGATGCAGGTCGGTGTAGAACTTGTTTTTTTTTCTGCAGGGTCAGCTTGCAGAGTTGGAGCATATATGCTGAAAAGAACAACATGTCGCTTATTGTTTAGTGGAAGACGTAAGGACGTTTTTTTCAAACAGTGGAAAAATTAATTTGAAACAGTCATTTAAAAATAAGATATAACATTAAAAAGGGTATCCCTCGTGCTGCATTGGACACTGAGACATCGCTAAGAATGTAACATAAGACAGTACAAACAGCTTTAGCAGGTTAAAAATCTGTTATTTGTGTTCTTCACTGGAAAGGGCTGTAGCAGTCACTTAGGAGCAAGTGTAAAGGGAAAAAAGGGAAGGACCAGGAGATCCTCTGGCCAGTGAAGGGTTACTAAACATTGTGGTCCAAATGCACCCATAGGCTCAAGTAGTCCCTAAGCTGCTAATTACTAGAAGCTGGAGGGCATACCAATCTTCTAGGAATTTGTCTAATCTCCTTTGGAGTTTATGGCCTCTAAAATGTCCAGTGGAAATTAAGTCTGCAGTTCCATTTTCCCCTTGTTCCTTCTAAATTTGCTCCCCTTGTAATTTGGTAGAGCAAATAGCATAAAATAGAAAAGATTTTATAGTATAAAATTCAGAAGATCCATAGTCATTGTTTCCTTTTCTGTACCGCCTTTGTGACTGTACAGACTCCTCTGTGTCAAAAGACATCAGTCAAGTCTGTGAATCCTGGTCAAACTCAGTGTGTAATACTGGCAATGCAATTACAAATAAATATGACTAACTGTTTATGTATGAAGTCAGTTGATCAGTTGGGTAGAAAAATTAATGTTTGCAGAAGCAAGAGTCTTCTTCATTGTACCAGTACTTGCTGAAGTGTTGTGCTGTTTAATTTTCTACGAATGAGCAGTTGCTTTCTTCCCACCTCTTCCTTACCCCATCCATCCAACCTGATGTGTTAACCTAGCTCTGAAGTCATCCTCTGTGAGGTTATTGGCAGTAGATGGGGATGAAATAAGTGATAGGATGCCATACAGTTAATAGTAACCTAGTAACTGTACATTATGGAGCTGGCTTTATTAGTCCCAAAGCATTTCAAAGATTCTGCTCCTCATCTTGCAGATGTGGATCTCTGCCATGGAATGGTGATATATGTCTTGTGACTTCTCCCAGGCAGCCAGCAGGGCTGTTGTGCCTGATCTCGAATTCAGTGCAGTGAAACATTTTTCACTTTGAAATTTGATCAGCATGTCCACAGATGGGAAAAATGGGAGAGCCTTTCTGAAAAAGAACCAGCGATGGCTTTAAAAACTGGGAAAGGCTTGGTATGAAAATTAGCATGTTGTTCTCACAGGAAATCTGGGCTTTGGATAAAGCACTGCCACTTTGAAAAGAGCAATAATTATTTTCTTGGGTAGTACTGTAAAACAATTCTGCAATTGTTTAGGAGGAGTTGGACACCCGAAGAAGGCAGCAAATGAAAATAAACTGTATGTCAATTACAAGCAGGGTTTTTTTAAGCCTAATAAATGTAGCATCAGGAGAAAATTAGCCTATGAAACCAAGCTGCCTGCTCAGAAGTGGCTGGAGGAAATTGATAGCCTAATTTCAATCTAGGAAAATTGCATCTAAGCTTTTGTGGCTGAAGGATTTCTAAACAACCTGAACAGTTGTGAGGTGGTCTGAATAGGGAATAGGTACCCAAGACTGTCAGAACACAACCGTTGAGGGCCTTAATAAGCACCTGTGAAAGATCACACATTTTTTGAGTGTCAGTTGAGTACTTGTGCTTTCTCAAGAAGCTTATAGTCCCATTACTGTCATCCTGTTTGCTAAATTAGCACCTTAGTTTCTCCCCTCTGGCAAGATATCAGGTGTCATCTGCAAAGACAGCAGGATTTGACAATACAGTGCATAATAAGAGGGGCTGGGAAGGAAGGGGTAAGACTGTGAGACGTGATCACGTATCTTCTCAGGAGAGTGTGTGCAGCTAGAGAGTGTGTCTGTGCATGTACTGCTCCTGACTGGGGGAGATGAGCAAGAGCTTGCTTATAAGGCATCTCTGCCGAGTGGGAGATGAAAAAAGGCAGTGCGGATTAACATGAGGGATGCTGGGAGGTGTTTCTTTTGGTTTGGGCATGATCAGTGGGAGGAGTGCAGAGTGGCTTGGAAATAAACCCTAAGAATTTGTAGAGGGAGAAGGGACCGAAAAGAGCACTGGATTAGGGAGGGAGTTTTATGTCTGGATAAGTGGCAGGTAGAAGAGGCTGCTCCAAAACTGGAGGCAGGAGGTGATCCAAGAACTAACAAGAATAACAATGATCTTATCTGAGGGCAATTACATTGATTTACAGAAAGAGGAAGGGTATGGCAAAGGTTATAAGAGCTGAAAAAGATCTTAGAGGCTGTAAATTGTGTTAAGTGAATGGCTTACATAGTGGTGGTGCTGCAAGGGTGATCTTGCTGCCTCCCACTGCAGCCACTTCTCAGACCTGCAGTCCATAATGTGCTCTTTGGCTCTGGGGATCATGAAGCCAAACATAACAACAATCCTTTGTATTTGTGGGAAGATTACCTAGTACTTTACTGCAAAACCAGGTTTTCTGTTGTGGGAAAAGCATGTTTTCAATTTTACTGGCTAAAAGAATGCTCGGGATTAATGCAGACTTTTCTTATATTTGTAATATTGCTTTGAGGAGGACTGAATTTATGTTGTAGATGAAGTCCATGAGGGAATACCTGTGTTTCTCTTTCAGCAACCTCAATCCAGAGAAAAATGCAAATGAAAATGGAATGTCTATGCAGAATGATAACTTTGAAGAGATCATAAACCTGCCTATTGGTTCTAAGCCATCCCGGTTGGATGCCATGAACAATGGTGGAAGCAATAGTCCTCAGATTCCTTTGAATCCAATTCTAGCCTTTGAAGATCAGGGGACTCTTTTGCCTCAGGTAGATAGTGTTCAAACACATCAAACAGCAGGTAGGTTCACCTTAGTTCATTAATACTTGTAATGTGTTATAGTTGACAGAGGACCTGAGCTCTTGATACAAGTTGATTAAGCATTTTTAAACCCCATATTATTTGGCAAAAGGAGCATATTTCCTCTTTGTAAAGCTATGCATACCAAGTACATACAGATGCTGTGCTAATTATAGTGGGGCTTCATTTTTCCTTTGAGGAGGGGCTGCTTGGTTATACTTTCTGCCATTGGAAGTTGCTTGAAAATGCTTGCCCTGTGCTTTCAAACAGAAATGATAAGAGACAACTGCTGTTCCATGTTCTGCAGGTGTAATATCTGACATACCCAGATAGATCAGAAGGGCATAAGGGAAGAAGGCAGAAGGGGATGGGGTATCTACTGTGTAATATCCTGTCTGTACTTCCCTCCTCAAGTTCTTGCTGACATTAATATTGGGGGATGGTTTGCAGCACACTAGATTTTTCTGAATTACATCACAACTTTTTAAGGGATGTTAGATACACAAAAACTAATACAGCAAGTTAAATTGAGATAGCATTGTCCTCTTCTCTGGTTAAAAATGTAAGGAAAATCGTCTTACAGTAACATAAGTGCAGAAAAGCCTAGCATTTTGAAGTAAGCATTTTCCCTCTTTACTGATCTTTTGTTTTTTGATACCTTCTGTTGTAGAAGTGATCTGAATGTTTCTTCTGAAGAACCAAAGGTGATAGGAGCATCTCTGCAGTCAGTGGAGTTTCTTCTAAACTATGAAGGAGCATTTTATTTTTTCTCTCCAGTTTTTTAAAGATTTCTTGAATATCTTTTTTGGAAGGACTTTAGTAAAACCAGCAGAATAAATGATGGGAATAGACTTGGATCACCTTTTTAATAGCTTTCACCACTAGAAAAAATCATGCTTCACGTGCATTACTTAATACGGCTTTTTCCAGCGAGCTTTTTCTGTTAGCACATGGATATTTCTACATTCCGTAAGACACAGGACACTGGAATCTGAAAGCAATGGGCTGATTTGGGTGGTGGGTCTGATTCTTTTTTTAAAGAGGTGGTGTTGGTTTAAAGGCTTAATTGTAAAATTGGCAAAGAATCTTTCACACTTTGTGGTTCTAATACTTGAAAAATAAATACCTCATTGCTCTACAAGTAGAGTTAATGGGGTGTTCTATTATAAACCTGTTGGTTTAAATATTATTGCAGAGAACTCTAATTATGGGGGCAAACTATAGGCTTCTGTATCTGGTTCTTGTAAATGTAATTCCTACAGGGACATTCTGTAAATTGAGATGTCACTATGATCTTTCATTTTCTCTAAAAACACAAAACAAGGCAGGTTTTAAAATGTGAAAATTTGAAAGCATTATTTTTTCATGGACAAGAGGAAAACCTGTTGTTCTCCTAGATGATGTATTTATGAATTTTGTTCAGTAAAGAAATAAATCATTTAACTGAATAAATTAGAAAAATGTGGCAAAATGATACTGCAAACTTGATTTTTTTTTAGTTACATTCATGTTCTCAATACTATAAGAGATGTGTATGCATAGGTGCACACACAAGGAAATCCCTTGTTCCGAGTCCTGCAAATTGCTGCTGGTCCTAATGGTGGAAGACTTTTCCTTTGCCTTATCAGACTACTGAAGCCTGTGGGAAACCTGAAATGTTTGATTTTAGGATAATGAAGCAGGTTTGTTTCAGGGTATTTGTGGTTTTGCTCGTTTCAGAGCAGATGGAAAATGGTTATTGTGCTTTTTGTCATGTGATTTCTATAAAGCAGTGCAGTTTGAGTGATAAGAGCAGCAGTGTAGGTTGCTCTCTCTTTAATTTGATGCTGATTTCTACTCATATCATTCCACCCCTTGCTTTTGGTTGCTATTGGGCAGAACTGCAAAGTCTTGCGCCTTCTTGTGCTTTGATAAACAACACTGCTACAGATAGTAGGTAGAGTTCAGTCTAGCTCTGAGCATGAAGCACCAACCAGGGCTTGACATGCTGCTAGCTGAAGTCAGTCAGGAGATCTTTGGCTAAGGGAAACGGAGGCTTATGGGGTCTCAGTTCATGCTCCCAGAGGATGTCTCATTAAGATTCCTGCACTTGCCTTTAGTGAGCACTGATCTTGGCCTCTAGGAAGCTGTGCAGAAAGTCTGTGTTAGCAGAGGAAATCCTCTGAGACAAAAACTGAAGAATTTTTTAAGAAGTTATTTTCTGCTGCTGGCAAGTGTTCTTTTATACAGAAGATGGGATAAAAGCAATGGAAATGCAATGAAAGAAACTTCATCTGCCAGAATGTATGTGGAAGGGAAAAAACAGCCAGTCAGAATGCTTTCAATAGTAGCCTGTGACACGGTAAACTGGGCTCCTTTCTTGCTTTCTTTAGTTTTCCATGTACATAGCCACAATATTTTGAAGTGTCCAAAATATGTAGTTTTCTTCAAACTTATATATAGCATGTAAGTACCAAATAAAACTTGTTTGAACTAATTCTATTTATATGTTCATTTTCTTGCATAGTTGGAGCCGGAGTCAATCTGTGGTGGAAAACTCTTCCTGCTACTCCTGGTCTGCTTAAAACTTTTCAGATTTCCTCTAATCTCTTACAAGAAAATCAGTACAGACTCATTTGCAGCTAGAAGCAGCAAAGAAGTAGTAAGATTTAGCATCAATTTTAAGTCTGAGGATTCACTGAGACTCAGGTTTAAATTACATTGATCTTGAATCTGTTTAGGCTGAGGTATGAATTATGTGGATCTATTTTTTTGTGAGACTTCACTTTTACGAACAGAACTGCAGTAAAATATATTCATTCCAGATTTGCTTCACATAAGAGGGAGAATTTCCTCCTTTTCAAGGGCCTGACATACAAAGTAAAAGCTAGTGAATTGGGAGTAGAACTAGATGTAGGAATCAAAAAAACCCAAACCATTAAGAAAATGAAAATGACTGAAATTTTAAGTCTTTGGTTAAGGCCCATTCTTTCAACGTAGGGAAAAATGGTTTCTTTCCTGTTGAAGGTTGTCCTGGAGAATAAAACATGGTATCAAATGATGGCTAGCTCCTTTGCCTGCTATTCCAAATGTTTTTGTTGTTGGTACTATCCCAGGTAACTCTCAATTAGGCAGTGACTAGAACTAGCAATTCTAGTAGAACTAGCAATTGTGGACGGCCAGACAGCTATTGTGAAGGTAAGGAGCAGCACCCTTTCACAGCAGTTAGGCTGTGTGCTTTGGAAAGACTTGGCTCCTTGCTCTCTTCTTAACAGTGCAACATAAACGCTTGCAGGGATGACATTCAATACATCACAGCTACTGGGTGGTTCACCATTAGCTTTGCGTGTTTCTCATGTCTCTTATCTCCTCATTCTGAGGAAGAATGTTTCATTATTTTCTTTCTTGCCAAGACCTTGAAATAAAGTTTGCAGTTAAATACTTAATAATACAGATGTAGGACAGATTGCACTGTTGACAGATTTTCGTTTTGGAAAATTATCTTAAGGTTGAGATTTTCTGATTTAATTCTTAGCTGTGTCATTCAGCTCTCTGTAGTCCTCTGTCTTAACAAGCCCCGCTGCCTACAGCTGAGCACAGGGGTCTTTCACATGAGATTTCAAACCAAAATTCCTGTCACACATGAATACTGAAAACACCATACTCCTTTATCTGAAGTCTGCCTGCTCTTTCCCAGGTCTTGTTAACTGCACTGCAGAGAAGCTTTCGAATGTGGTTTTGGTTGTGGTTAAAAACAAAACAAAACAAAGAAACAAAACCAAAAACCAAACAAAGAAAACCAGACCAACAAAAAACCCAACCAAAACCCGGTACTATTGGAGAAAACTTGCAGTTATTAAAAGGGATAATTGACAGAAGTGCCTCCCCCAAGCATCAAACTAAATTTAGCAATTTGGGCCACACTAAATGCAATGTTTAACACTTAGTTAAGAGAATTATATTTTATGATTTCTAGTCTCACTTTTATACCAAGTTTTATTTCATGTAGCCAGTAGCAGATGCTCTAAAGCTCTACATGCATTTAAGAGTTTTACCATGGTCAGAAGTACCTCAAAAGATCATTATGCTGGTTTTAGCCAGGGTAGAGTTGATCTTCTTCATAGTAGCTCCTATAAGGTTGTGTTCTGGTTTTGCGCTGGAAACACTGCTGCTAAGACAGGGATGTTTTTGTTATTGCTGAGGAGTGCTTACACAGCCTCAAGTCCTTTTCTGCCTCTCACCCCACCCGCCCTACCAGCGAGGAGGCTGGTGATGCACAAGTTGGGAAGGGACACAGCTGGGCCCAACTGACACAAGGGATATTTCATATCATATGATGTTACACTCAGCACATAAAGCTGGGGGAAGAAGGAGGAAGAGAAGAGAATCTTCAGAGTGATGGAGTTAGTCTTCCCAAGTAACCGTTTTGTGTGATGGAGCCCTGCTGTTCTGGGGATGGCTGAACACCATCCTGCCCATGGGAAGTAGTGAATGAATTCCTTGTTTTGCTTTGCTTACATGGCGTAGGTTTTGCTTTACTCATGAAACTGTCTTTATTTCAACCCATGAGTTTTCTCACCTTTGCCCTTCTTATTCTCTTCCCTATCCCTCTGGGGGGAGAGTGAGCAAGTGGCTGCTTGCTGGGGTTAAACCACAACAGTCAGTAAACTCTTCTGAAATGTTTTAATAAGAAAATGCTATCTGGAAGCAGATGTTTGCTGTAGGAGTGGTTCCAAAATTTCAGCATTCCAGCCAGTTCAACATGAAGCTCCAGGAGGATTTTTTTATTAAAAAAAAAAAGTATTGATGAAAGATAGAATATATGAGATAAATTTCTAATTTTACCAAAGATGTTCACTTTTGCCTGGTTGCAAGTACCTTTGGAAATAATTTACCATTTGCAGAGCACAGATTTCTGTATTCAAACACATCTCACCCAAATCAATGGTAGCGGCTATATTCTGAGCATGCTTTATGCAACATTGACCTGCCTCAGTGTGCCTTTGCTCTTCTGGAGTTTAATGCCTACAGTGTAGGTAAGGATCAGCCCTAAGGCTTGCCCAGTTCTAGTTTCTTATAAATTGCTTTCAATTTCTGAGTTGCCCTTCAGCAGTTACTCTCTGTAGTAACCTGTAAGTAGTTTGCTACCTTTATATTGTATCTTAATTCAATTGTTTTCTAAAGTCAAAACCCTGGAGTGCGCTCTGAGATAAAGGACGTGGAACAGAAACAAAATAAAGATGAATGCAGAGTAACCTGTGTATCTGAGAGATGCCTCTTCAGAAGAATCCACCCGTTACATTAATAAAACCTTATGAATACAGCGCTGTTGTTTTGGAGGTGAGGGTGAGGGAACAAAAACCAAACCACTGAGGATTACCCAAGCATAACGTGTGTCTTACAAACCCTTTGGAAGGAATGAAGCCATAGTCCTCAAGCACACTTCAGCAGCCAGCCAAAGTATACAAGGGATTGTCGTTTAACCTGCTCGGGTTTTTGTTATCAGAACATCTCTTTGATGAAATTGTAAGTAGCAGGAAACCTTAAACTACAGGAAGCAATGAAAAGAGTTGTCTTCTCTGAAAGTTTTGAAGGCTTTGGTAAGTTCTGATAAGCTATCTGGCTTAAATACTATCTTCATGGCAAATAGCTGCCCTAAGGAGCTCTTGAGTTTCTTCTGTTTGTTGGCGGAGTTGCTCAAGGAGTTTGGCCATTTGGGTTTCTCTGAATTCTAATGAAAATTCTGGATCTGAAGGGAAAAAACAAGTGTTAGGCAAACTGCCATTTTCCCCTGTATTTTAATGCAGATACTTAGAAAGCTTCTATATCAGGTTAGACACAGTTGATAGTTCTTATTACAGTGTAAAGTATGAATAAGGCAAAACAATATCCTTCTACCACACAAAGCAGATACAAATCAAGATTTCAGCCTTACTCAAGATTGTTTGCTGCTTAATTCTCCTAATCCAGATGTCTAAAGCTCAGTTGCCAAATTCAGCCTTATACAATAGATGCATATCAAAACATAGCAGGGTCTTAGCTCTGGCTCTAAATATGTGAAGAGATACACATTTATTATGGTATAACTCATCTATACTCAACTTCTATCCAAACAAAAAAAACTTCACCAAAAAATGGTAAAAAACCTCAAGGAAAAGAATTTCAAATACAAAAAACACATGAGACTTCCCAGTTTTAACAGCAGCTAATCACACAATTTCCTTGTTTGTGTGCTTTATTAGAATAAAATAAATTCATATTTGAAAAGCTTTTAGGTTGCATCTAGTGCCAAACATTCTTATATTGGATAAAAACAGCTGTACCTGTTAAACAAAAAAAAATTCCCTGCCCTTATAAGACACTCTTAGTAACTTAAAAACCAGGTAAAGTAACAGCTACCCTGGGGATTATTCTGTTTGCTGAATCAAGCAGAGTAGTCCCCAAAAGAAGCTGCCAGGCACTGTCATTTCTGTAACACAGCAGTGCCTGTTTGCCACTGAGAGGAACAGGCAGCGCCTAGCAGCCCTCCAGGTGCTCAGCCCAGCAGGAAGGACATACCGTCTCGAAGTCTGCAGAATGTGGAGATGCCCAGCTGCTGAAAGCGGATCTCTCGATGGGTAAGAAAATTCTTGAGGTAGGCCTGAATATCTCTGATGTGCCGCTTCAACAAAAGCATCATTTTTTCTGCAAAAATGGGAGAATTAACAGGAGCCTTTCAAACACTTCAAAAACTGATTTTTGTAACTATTTTAAGATTGTTAATGACCCATCTACCCAGCTACAACCAATGTTACTGCAAAGATTAGCAAATTACTTCCATGTAGTACAGCCTTTAAAGGTACTGCTGATACTTCAGGTAAATGAAACACTGAGTGGGCAGCTGGTCCTCGTGTGAGGTAAGTGCTGACTTACAGGCTGATAGGCCTGCCATGAACCCACCCAGGAGTGATTATGCTGTTGGACTTTGTTCACTGCTTGAGAGTCTGCTCTGTTGCAAACCCTCAATGGTAGAATTGAAGCAGGTTTGTGGTGTCCCTTATTGGAGACTCATTATGGGCCTCAGTTTCTCTCACATGCAAAGATTAAAATCTAACTATACTTTTCTAGAGATTGTGGCAAAAATCCAAATGCCTTTTTCTTGCAAGTCTTAAAAGGCTCTCAACTGTGTGGGACACGTATATTAAGCATAAAGCTTTCTGTTTTCTTCAGGTAAAAATAATGTTTTCATTCTCTCTCAATGCAACTTAAAAAAAAAATATAGGCTGCATTCTTAAAAGCCACTTCAGTGCTCCTGCTAATCTAGTCTAGAATTACAACAGCAGTATTTGATTCAGTAAGATGTTTTCCTCTTGTTCAGTGAGCAGGGTTGATCTAAAATTTTGGAACACAACTGTCCATTGTAATTGTCTCTAGCAGTCTCTGCTCCTATCTATGGGGAATACCATCACATTGTATGCACTGAGAAGGAGGGTTAAACAGAAAGATACAACAGTGTCTTCCTTTGGTAAGGGGTATTTCACGCTCTCCCACTTTCCTACTGAAATTGTTTTTAAGGATCTCAGAAGTGGCTACAGACTAGCCTTGCAGCATGATAGTGTTCGAAGATGTCAGCGAGCACCTGGATCAGATCTTTATCTATGGCCCATTTTCATCCCTAGGCTTTCTCATGCACTCCAGCCCTGGTGTATGTCTATTTCAAGGGTGACTGTAGGTGCTTTTTGTAGAAACCACAAGGAGGATGCTATGGGAATGTTAAAGGTCGTTTGGTGCCTAACAGGCTTTTTTTGTTTCTTTGGGAAAATGCTCATTTCACTCCAGCCAGCCATAAATCTCTGAAAGCAGTTACTGCTGTGTGATAGTTACCATGACCTATCATGTGCTGGATGATAGAGGCAGCTTGAAAAGATGGCTCAGTATGTTCCCGTTGGCCAGCCAGTCTCACCAAGCACTTTGTCAAGGGTTCATCCATCCATTGGACCATGTGTAATGTGGCTCCTGCAAGACAGAAAGATGAGAGAGTAGGCTATGAACAGAAACTCCAGTGTTGAAGAAATGAAGGTGAGAGGTCTGCCAGAAACCATACTGCCTCAACAGGAAATCCCTCATGCAGCTGCAGAAGTGAAGTGCTGAACTTGTGCAGTAAGTATGTTTAGGTTGTAAAAAAAGGGTCTATGTCCTGAGCTTATGGTCTTGGAAGGCAGGGTAACGTATTTCAGTCACAGAAAGGCTGGTGGATTTTTATTTTGTTGGGTTTGTGTTCTGGAGGAATGGATCACTTCATGTACAAGATACACTCTTGCCTAGGGGGCTTAGTCTGTCCACCCCTTGGAAAATTAAATGTGACATGTTGGGGTTGCATGGCAGTTACATCAGATACAAGAGGAAATGTTTGACAGAAAATACCCAGTGCTGGCACAAGCTGGGAAAACTAACACTGATTCTCTTGCCATGAGGAGTGCTGTACCTTCCATGGGTGTGAATAACATTTATATGCAAAAAATAGAAAGAACCACTTTGTATTTTAGTCTTTCTTTTATATTGTTTTTTGCTACTGTGAAATTAATTCAGCCAGAGAAACTGGGCTACATTACAAATAAACCAGACAGGCCATGTACGGCAGTGAAGGTCAGCACACAGAATTTTGAGTTTTAAAAAAAAATAAATTAAGCAATCCAACAGAAGAAAGTGCAAATACCAGAGCCCATGTGTTGGGCCAGTGAGTTGGATCCTGCTGCTCTTGAAGCTTATGGCAAAACCCCCAGTGAGTTTAAAGGGAAAGACCTGGGCTGTACATCCACCTATGCTTCATCTCCTATTAGGATCAATAAAGGGTATGTACACTCCTCAGATTAAGCCATTTATGGTAGGGCTGTTTCCCTACCTTGCTTTGCTAGCTCAGCAAGACAAGATGTCACGTAATGAAGAGAGTCTTCTTCAGTATTGGTAGAAAGCATGGTCTGGAGGAGACCTTCAACACATGGGCTCTCAAAGATTCTCTGCAACAAAAAAGAGATTAATGTACAGCATTTCCATTTTGTTTTAGTGGTGACTGAGGACTTCAGAAGTACTAAATAGCTCTTAGCAATACTGAGGGCTGAAACATCAAAAATGGAAATATCTCCTTCCAGATCTACCACAACAGGGTGACAAACACCCTGGATTGTTCAGAGATCACCTGATTTTAGGTGTTTCCCAGGGTTTGCTCTGTCAGTGGGATGTTCTCATAGAATCAGCTAGGTTGGAAAAGACCTTTAAGATCATGAAGTTCAACTGTTACCCCAGGACTGTCAAGTCACTTTTCCAAAGTGAAATTCAGTATGCCACTGGATAATCACAGAGGGATCCAGCTTTGTATAAACACTGTCCTGGCTGGCTACACTCTTATACCTCAGTAGTTCCTCTACACACGCAAAGCCTTGTGGATCAGGCTACATAGCCATGTTTTGTTTCTGCACTACCTTTGCACATCTCTGCTCCCCCCTTATAACCTGCAGGTTGTAGAGGAACTGCAGTTGTTCCCAGGGGACCTGATCAGCATTAAGGTCCTGGGGAGCCAAATGCTATGCATCTGCACAAGGCATGCAGGCTGAACGCAGATCACTCTGAGCTCAGAGAATTTCCTGACCTATTGCTGCTGTGCCAGGCTGTTATGTTAGTATTAAGCTGTCATTCGCTCAAGTCTTGCTGCAGAAGCGAGTAAGCTGAGTGCTCCAGGGCAAAGCACTGGGAAATGTGGAAGTTTTTCAGTTTCTCTTATTTGCCTCCAGGGCTTTGAAGGCTTTATGGTGTTGAAATGCTCTGATCTGCAGAAATACAAGATGACCTCTCCCTAGCAAATTTGAGTTCTGTTTCTGGAGAGAAATGTTATGAATTAAACATTTCTGTGTATCCCTTATGTTTTAGGTTGAATCTGCTATTTGCCAAAAGTGTTGTGCAGCATGTCTCTCTACTGGGATATGTGTTCTTAGAGACCAATTTGAAAACAGATAGGAGACTTAGCCTGTGCTGACCTGGATTAAAAGCACTTGAGAATGAGTCCTGACTGAGCCACCTGGAGGTGACTGGTTGCTATTGAAGCTGAGTCACAAAGTCCTCAGTTCTTTGGGAGGTCCTAAACACAGAAGCTCCTCACAGCTCCATGAGGAAGCTCAGGTATTTATCAACAAAAAGGAGTATCTCTTTTGTGTGTGTGGGCTCGTTTCATGTTGCAGTTTTTTAACTTGTTGCTTGGAGGTTGTAGCTGGCTTCAAGACTTGCCTTTCAAACTCCCATACTCTCTTTGTGTCCTGCTGGCATAAAAACACCACTTTTTTCCTCTTGTGCCAAAGGCTCTTACATGTTTGAGTGACGGTTCCTTAATTGACCCTGGAAACCTGGCATTCCCACTCATCCATGTGGGTTCACTTTTGCATTGAGAGCTAGATACTCTGTATGTTACAAAGCATTATGAAGCTCCCTGTTGATAGCAGAGTATATGACAAATATGGTAATTATTTTAAGGTAAAATTTGAAAGGATTGAGGGAATCTATTTCCCTGCAAAAACAGATTTCAAAATTTAACTATCAAAATTTCATGTAATTTTTACATTCGTAAAAGTGAAAAAAAAAAAAAGTAAATAGTTTTTCTTTTGGTGAGCTTAAATCTCTGGGATTACTGGTAAGTGGGTCATGAGCAAAGGAAAAAAGAAGAATGTAAAAAAAAGTATAAGAGCAAGTGGGGCAAAGCAGAGACAAGGATTTGGGTGGGATTTCTCCCTCCCCCCCTGCCCCCTCCCCCAGTATTGATTGTTACTAGTGGCACTGTTCGATCAAGGTATTCTTAAAAGGTAAGGAGAAAGGAAGTGCCTCTATAAATCTCATTAGAAGATTTCATTAGAAGCAGAATCAGCAACAGAGAGCCCTACAGCATCTTAGCACAAACAGTATCTTGCCAAACAAGCAAAATGTACATCAATAACTGGGGTTATATTTAACAAGCTGGGATTGAAATTACATCAGTGTTTGAACACTGTAAGTGGATAACCAATGGCTGATGAAGAGTGAGAGCTAGGAAACAAGGATTCAGTTTATAATAAACCTCAGTTTTCCTCAATGGGTCCTTTTAATGAGTATGAAATGTCTTTGCTAGAAGTATGTTTTATACATATGATGCAGTCATTCAAATTAGGTAACCAGTCACAGGAAAAAGATCAGGTATTTCTTATTTTCATTAGCATTTTCCGTATTGCATTGAAAAAATATGAATAAACCCTTCTTTCATTATGGTGCATCAGGTCCTTCTATTCACACAACTTTGTGTAGAGTATCCCTGGTGCATGTTTCATTATATTATCTTTCTCTGGGTAATTCTGATTTAATATAACCATATTAGCAACCTCCCATGGTATAGTTCAGTGAAAAATACTGGGCACCTACCTGTCTGTTTTTGGAAAGGCTCAGGTTTTTGATGATACACGCAGTATGGCCAACAATCACAGGGTCTGTTTTATGTGCCAGTAGTAGCATCCCCAGGCTCTGTAGTAGCTCAGCACATGCCAGAGTGTCCTGACAAGAGCAACCGCTATCTCAGTTACATCCAGTACAGACAGCACACTGCAACTTTGCAGCATGCTAAAGATAGATAGATCTTAGCTCTGAAAGAAAAAGCATTACTTAGCTCATTTAAACCAACAATGATTATTTGGCTGGGTCCAGTGCTTTTTCTCTCAAAATGTAGTCTACTGACTGCTACTGATCTACAGAGCACTTGCTGTCGAAAGCTGGAGTCTTTATGGTTCGGTAGTTTATTTTTGTTTGCATCAAACACTTCCCAGAGCTTGCTGGTAGCTAAGGGAAGGACGTGTGATCCTGACTGGAAGAAGTGGTCAGAAAGGTGTGAGAAGTGAAAGTATGTGATGAAGTAGCAGCAGCAGTGTGTCCTTGAGTACCTCAGCAATGAATCTCACCTACAGTCATGGACTGTATGTTTAGATCAGTTTGTGATCTGGCACCACTTCAGTAACATGTTCTGAACAGCATCTTCTTGAGTTTATACATACATTTCTCTGCTCTGGTAGATATTTTAGAGGGAGGGACTTCACTGAGTCCTCTCTCTGAATGTTGTCATCTTCCAAATGCCACTAATATTAACTTTTTGAGTTTGGATTACTGTCCAGGTAGATCCTTCAATAACAGTATGGATTAAGAGGGCACTGCTGCTTATAAGAGAAAGTGACCTCAACAGGCTTTGGGTTAGGTACAGAGTTAAAAAGATTCCCTCTTGGAAGCATTATTTCTTTCAGTCTCTTTCCCTTACGAATTTGAGCTCTTTATGCAGTTCTTATGTTTCTTAGCAATGAACTATATTATTTGTGCTACTTAGAAATTGAGACACATTAGCAAGAGTGGTCAATGTAAAACAAATCATCAGTCCTATATATAGCTGAGAAAAATCACATCTGAAACCTGTGAAATGTCAGAATCACTGAAGCAGTGCTGAAACGCAGATGTCTTTAAAAATTAGTTGAAGTTGCATCAATTTTTTACTTAGGTTAAATTGCAAAAGTGAATCTTATTTTCTTCTCGTATCAGCTGACATCCTCGCTTACAATCATTTTAAGCACTGTCACAACCAGCAATCCTCAAATAAAACATGAAAATAGGTGGAAAGGGCTATGCCCAAACTCAGGGAATTTAATGCAGACATGCTTGTAAATTTTTGCTGGTTTTGTTTTTCCTTCTCTGCAAAGGTAGAAATAATATAATCTTAGATAATCCAGTTAAATTACCATTGATGACTGTTTTCTGTGCTTTTGGACAAAGTGTCCTCTTTTCTATGTAATCCCATCAACCACAGCACCCTAATTTGCTTTGCTACGGCCTAAGAGAAGGAGACTATGAATGAACTTTCTGATATATAATGGCTTCCCTGACAAGCATTTCTGTTTATTTAGGACCTACATTAGTAAGTGACAGTACTTCACATTTTGCTGAACCTCTTTTTTGACTGGTGTATGGTTGGGATCCAGATTTTGTTTCATGGCTCAATCCTGCACAGCATGAGAAAATCACGAGAAAACTCCTGAGTAAAAATGGATCATGTGGTTCAGATGGATACTGATCTAACTTCTCTCAAGATTAAAAAATAAATAAAAAGCTAGTAAAAGAATTCCAGCAGCAACTGTGCTTACAGTTGTAACGCTGTACTTGCACCCCTTATCCAGGGATTTCTTGCCAAGTACTATCCTCCCTTTTCCAGGTAGCAAGATGGGAAGGCAAAGTTATTTTGTACCTGCAGTGGGAAGGCAGTGGTATCATCTGGAGTAGACAGACCCCTGCCACCCTGACTTCCAGGTCTTTGCTCAAAAGAATCTGATTTAAAAGGCTGTTTTCTCAAAAAAGCCTGACTCTCTCTGGTATTTCAGGGTTGGGCTGTCCTTGAGAGGACTGAAAAAAATTACCCTACAAGAGGGAAGTTTTCCAGTGCTTGCTGAGAACTGCTGTCAACAGCCTGACCAGGGGATCGCAAAAAAGGAGTTTAAGCAGAGAGAGAGGAGCTCCTGTGACGCATTCCTGGGGGTTTGCTTCATGGTAACAAAAGGGCAGATGAATTCTGCCCTATTGTATCCTGGGTAGTGTTTGTAATAATTCAAGCATCACTTGACTTCGTTGTAAAGGTTAGCTTTGTTCAGTGGCTTGTTTTTCAACAGCTGTTCCCATGGAGAAGTCCTTCTTTCACTCATAAGAATTCAGCCTGAATTAGAGAAAGAAACCTTTAAAAGGTTTGCAAAACAGGCCAGAAAAGGCATGGAGGTGGGGAGGCAGGATGTGAGTAAGGAGAGGTCAGCCTCTTCTCAGAGTGCCCAGGGCTTGCTCACACAAAGCAGCAACATTCGCTAGTCAGGAACAGCCGTGTTTACTCACTAAAACAAATTTCAAGACGTAGCTACTTCTTGCTGGAGAATAAACCCTCCAGGGTAATGCTTTGCTTTGCAGCCTCCTGCTGCTGACCCTTTTCCCCCATGAAGAACAGGCTATCTCACTGCTGGTGTGACAAGGCTGAGTTCCAAGTGCCTTTGCTCCTACTGATGCAGCATCCTTTGTTGCCGGGAGTTTGAAACACTGATAAAGACATGTTTTGGGATCAGGGAGGAAAGGATTTCTGGGTACTTTTTGCTGGGAGAACAAAAACTGCAAATGGTGTTTGGGATCAAGAAAAGCAAATGAGAGTGAGGATGATGTTCCAGCATAATGCCTCATACTGAGTAGCATTTTCACAGTGCAGATAGCCTCCAACTAACTTAATGTATTTTAATTGTAAGCTTGTTGAGCGAAAATTGTGTTTTGATTGCATGAGGCAGTTTGACAAGCAAAGAGGATGTTTAGTGCTAATACAGCCAGCACAAAACCTAGGAAGCCACGGTACCTTTGAAAAGCTCTGTTCTCTAGTTGCCGCTTCCCAGGCATTGTGTTTACCCATTTTTTCCATCATGTCCTAGAGTCAGAGGAGGGGCAATTTGGTTTGTACTGTGCTGGGTACGAGCAACTGCGGTGGATATCAAGAGGCCTCCAATATCCAGAGAAATTTCAAATCATATTGAGTGTATTTCAGCCAGGAGAAGCACATAAGCCCAGATGTGATTACTCATACTGTCTGTCATTACTGCTTAAAGAAATGTGGCAGGAAAGGTTCTCACTTTTGTTTTTTTGCTTTATCTACCCAAACTCTGCCTCTCTTAAAAGGTTGTTGTTAGCTTAAGACACCTCTCAAAAACCTTTCACATCCATGTTCCTACAGATGTCCAATTACTGTAACAGAAAAGCACATTAAAAAATAACAATTGGTCAGTTGCTACTTATTGTTTTTGCTGTTTTATGTGGATGATGAAAGTACAGCAGGACTGTCTGCTTTTTTTATTTGCTGTAGTGTATTTCTCAACAGACTTCTTCATGTATCTGCATAGTATTGCACTCCTAATGGTGTTTACCATTGTAGACAATTGGTGTTTACCAACTGGTCTGTAACTAACAACATGATGAGACACAAGAAAGTCCTTGGGAATTAGAAGATTCAAGTTCTATTAGCTCCCCTGTCTTGATCCTAATTCAAAAGATGTTAAATTTATGCAAACGCATTTTTTAATAACTGTCTATATAGGGAAGTGATATATTTTTGCACTTTATTTTGCACTGATACTACTTTAAATGCACACTCTAAATTAGTTTTTCTGCTTTCAGCATGTGAGGAAGCTCTGTAGCCAAGGAATAACTTCCTCAGCTGCCCCCATGGTTGCTGTCTTTCATGGTGCTATGCATTTATCCTGCTCCTTGTACACTCATCTGGAGACCTACAGTCTGGGGACAAACAGGACCTTTGCAGGGCAGTGTCCACACATCCAAGGAATCCGACACCCACCTCTCACCCTCTGCCCTCCCCTTGGTCCCCTTACAAGAATTCTGATTACAGGATCCTTTAGATCCCACTCACCACAACAAATAGGCTCCTTGTGCGTGGCAGTGAAGATGAAGCAAACAAAGCCTCATTATTTTGGGTGGGAGAGAGGGGGATTGAGAAGTCTCACAGAGTTTATCGGTCATTCTCAAAATGCATTTCATATGCAGTTTTTGCCATAACTGAGTGTTACCCCAGGTGGTGGCCAGAACTACTCTTTCACCACTGGTCTCAGGAAATGACCTCCCCTACCTGGTTGTGTGGGTGTTCGGACAGTATCCAGAGCAGAGCGATGGAGGCTCGACACACATCCTCGCTGCCAGAAGCCAGGAGAGCATGCAGCTTGGGCAGGACATCCTCAGCAACCATCTCAGCCTGGATGTCCACTGATTTGGGAAAATGACTGAGGTCAGTGAGCTTCAGAGCACTGTGAGGCATTTTGGCCCTGACACAAACATCTGACTGTGCTTCAGTGATGAAATTTGAGGGGTCTACCCAACCTCCATGGGATGGGACAACACTGGATGTTTGGTTATAAAAATAAGCCCTCATTTTTTCTGGCTCCTTTTGCCAAAGGATTAGTACAGGCTTGAGAGCAGAATGTAGGTTTGGGGACCCTTCAGTTTGCATTTGAACATCAGTAAAAAGAAATTAGGAGAATTTTCTGAATCCTTCACTGGCATAATGCCCAGTAAGAAGGTGGCAGCTTCTGCTGCACAGACAGAAAGACTTCCCCAAGCACCACATATCTTGCAGTTATGGTTAGCTAAGGGAGAGGTCAGCCATCCCAGATAAATCCTTACACCCCACCTGTCTCTGCAAACTTGGAGAGGGCTTTAGGGCACTAAAAGGCAATGCCAGAGCAGCCAGCAAATGGAGCAGCAGTCCTAAAAGGCCAAGCAGATCAAGGATTTTCAACCACACCAAGGAGGAGCACAGCTGTTCCTTCACTTCCTGCTCCATTATAATTATGATTGCTTGAAAATTAAGCACCTCTGCATTTTCTAGATGAACAGCCCTTCCCCTGGATCCTAGAGCTATAGTGCTGAGTGTGCCAGTCCTCTGCTTCCATCCCCTGAGTATGCCATAGAAAAGGATCTTGGGTAATAATAGGATTTTTGTAAGATGATGACAAATGCTTGGGAGAAAATGACATTTAATGATAGACAGATTCAAGCCCTGGGAGAAGGCAGGTCCCCACTCAAGTAGCAATTTCAGGAGACGTTCTGTCCTGTTCAGGTTTAATGCTTTGGTAACATGGAAGGGAGAAAAACTTATGTTGCAAAGGCTCTGTGCAAAAGAAGGCCTCTGCTGTCTCTCTCACTTTGTCCAAACACTTCCCCTTGCTACCTGAGAGCTCTGAGGCAGATTTAGTTGGTGTATGCACTGCACCTCCCTTTTCCCTTAACATCCAACAAAGTGTAGAAAAGAGAGTCTCTCTTCTAATACAAAAGGTTCCCAGCCCGCTGTGCTCTCTCTGAAAGGCAGAGAGAGAATGAAAAATAGCATGCTTTATGTCCAAGATACTGCTTACCACTGGTAGCCAAATTCCGCAGGCAAACACATGCCTGGCTTGAAACCTGCTTGTGCCAAAGAGTAAAAAAAAAGAAAAAAGGAATGAGGGAGGAAAAAAAGAAGCAGTTTCAGTAATGCATGTTCTTGCCTATTGTACACAAAATAAACATGACAACACTAGCAAGCTATTAACATTATCTTCAGAGAACAAATTTGGGGAAATTATCTTTTATTTTCTCAAAGTTTTGATAAACTTTCTTTAACCTGCATGTGTATGAGTCATCCTGTTGTTGATGAGGAAAGCCAATGGGGTTCAGATGTTGGTTTATTTTAAAATGTCAGATAAGTTAGAGGAAAATTGAATGAATTTGTCTTATTTGCTTCACATTTTTTTCACCTTCCTCCTACATGGAACTTAAGGTTCCACCCTTAAATCCTGAACGGTGACTTACTGAAATTTCTTTGATGTGGCTCCAACAAAGCAAAATTTTCAAGATGCTATTCTCTGAAGCCATATGAAAGTTAAGGACAGCAAAAAGGAAAAAAAGATAGCATAATAGATGCTTCAGACACCTTCTGTGAGACACAATAATCAAAGATCGTTGAGAACCTGGACAGAGCACTTCAAACATGTAGTTTCAAGTTTAAGGAATACAGGTCATTCTAGTCTAAAGGAAGTGTTCAGGGCTGTGGAACAACTTCAGTGATTTCTTGTCTCTTTCGCCATACATTGAACTTGTACAACCTATGTACCTTCTAATATATGTGTCTTTTCTCATGGGAAAGATGCTGCATAGGCGCCTGTACAGCAGATGAGCAGAACTGTGCAAGACTAAAATGAGAAGCTCAAGTTTATAGCTCTACTCTGACCCTAAGGTTTTACACAAAGAGAAAGCTACAGCTTTACCTTGTCCACGGAAGAGGACAGGAGAGAGATAAGTGTCCGCAACACGAATCTGTTGCTGGGTCTCAGCATGGCTTCATGGTACTGAACATTGGCTGCCACGTTGCTCAGAGCAGCACAGCTGTAATACTGCAGAGAACAGATTAAAAGGAGAGCGAGGACGTCCCACTGGTGACATGTTGAGGATGATAAATTGGAGAAATGCTTACACTTAGACCTGATGAAAATGAAGTAGTTTTTCATCTTAAGGGTGTTTTATTGGGTAGATGTGCATATTAGCCTGAGTGCGCTTCCTCCAGGAAAAGCAATGCAATTTGCTATAGCTATGACGGCAGTCATGCTGTGGCAACTGCATGTTGTACAAGCCCTTTAAGATGCTGGGTATTTGGGAATGTACCGTACTGCTGCAAGGACAATGCTGCTGGCACCTAAGTTAGGTCATCTGCATCTTCTTGTACTGCATGTTTACATTTCTTTACTCAAACTGGATATAGCCATTGCCCTAGCATGCCAAGACATCATTTTCAAATGATTTAAACATTAATGCTAGGAAGAGTTGTATGAGTATGTAGTACTAGGGAGGTATAATTAGAAGCAGCAGCTTGAACTGCATCAAAGAATATTTTAAGGTGAATCTCAGACAAAGCAGATAATGCTGAAACAGTTTTCAGAAAGGAATTCCAGAAGCTCCATCCCTTCAGACATTTAAAAGAACTCTGAATAGAGATAACAAAACTAATGCAGGAAACAACCCTATTACAGCTCCAAGTACTACTTGGAGGACTGCACAAATGAACTAGTGGGTTTTAAGGTTTACAGCTCTGATTCACAGTTTTTCATCCACATACTTTTGAACTAAGATTGTTAAATCTATAGAATCATAAAGAGGTGTCTGTGGTAGGCATAAAATAGGAAGATTTCCCAAACATTTACAATAATAAGAAAAAAATCTACAAGTTAAGCCTTCTCAGATCACTTGGTAAAATTGCTTAGAGTGCAAAATCAGAGTTAGGATGAAAAAAAAAAAAAAACAGCAGAGGAAGAGGCCTATCTGCAACTTGTCTGATGATCTGAAACACACAAGAAGGTAACCACATATCTATCTGTGCATGTGTTAGTGTGCTGGCAGATGCACTTCTGAATCATAACCTTTCTCTTGTGGAGCTAGATAAATTGGGTGCTTTGAATACATATTATCTGACTGCACTGAGTTTCACTGAGATGTTCTCACAGCTTTTCTCATGTCTCTAGTGAAACCTTTCTTCCTCTCCAACTTTTAATTTCTGTGTGCTGTGGTTTGTGCTCTCCTTACAGTCACACTGTTACTGTTTAAAAATCTGACCTGTTTGAGCCATACCTGCACTTCTGAGTCAGGAGATTCCAACAGCAAGGCAAGAACTGGTAGGGCTCCTTCCTTGCACAGGACCTGCTGGATTTTCTCTGCCGTAAAAAAGTGGGGGTGGGTGGGAAAAATGTTGTTAGTCTCTTTCCCGTTCCCTCCCTCTCATCTGGAGGCATCATTCAAAAGGGATATGGGCAACCACTGAATTCTAGAGTGCTGATGCTGTCCAAATATACGCCAGTCAGTGTGACTGGAGAGTATGTAATTTAGAGCTTGTTCCAATATAGCAGTATGCAGACATTTCAGCAAAATAACTAGCAGGCTATCTGAGTGATTAAGCCTTTGCTGGCTGTATGCTAAAGACTGTTGTGAGATTCTGAATTGCTGAAGAATCTGAGAAGCCTCAGGTATGATACTGACCATAATTTCATGTTTAAAAATCAAATTCTTTGAAATTTCTTAACAATAACATAAGTACAATAGCCATCTGTTCCTTTCCCTTATATAAATACAAGACGTTACTCATAACTGTACCATTTAGCTGTGTGGGATAATGGTATCACCTAGACAGGTGAGACAATGTTGGTTTATTTCAGAGTTACTGTATGGTGTGCAAATATTATTGCGGAGAATGAAAAACTGCTTTTGCTAAAGCTGTTTGCAGATAGCCCAAGAGCTTTTAATGTCTGGCCCATAATAGTTACATTTTACGTCTTCTCACATCAAGTTAGGGATTCAAGCTAAATCTTCCTAGAGCTTGATCTTGTTCTGAGATTGCTTCAAAGTACCACCAAATGTGATGCTAACTTTTTGGACCAAGTTATTTCTTTAACAAATCCCTTGGGATTAAAAAAATCAAGCCTTTCTGTTTTGGTACCAGGCAAAAAAGGATCTGTGTTAGCTAAAGAGAGGCCAAATTTTTAAATCATCAGCCTATACAAAGGAAATAATGTGTTGCTCAGATATGCTTTTATTCTTGCCTTAACCTTCTTCAATTATTTTTCTATCAGTGAGAAATTTTCTTTTGGCAATTTTAGATAGACCATTAGTCAGAAAATACCTGATTGTGTGAGGTTGAGAATAGCACCAACTGCATTTTGTTGGACCCTAGGATCATGGGAATTGGCAAGAGACAGTAGGGGTGTAATTCCTTGAGCAGCGCCAATAGCCTCTCGGTTGGACTCTGGAGAAGAGAATCAGAGAAAGAAGACATTGCCATCGGACTGTGAGCCAGAAGCAGGACAACTGGAAGGACTAGATTTCAATTTTTTTATTCTTTAGTATATATCAACATTTCTCTGCATGCTCAAAGGAAACTTAAGAATTCCAAGAGCCCAATGGGAAAGAAACTAATTAATGAATTCTGTATTAGTGATAGATCACAGCTGATTCAATGCTTTTGTGACTGGGATAATTAAAAAAAAAGGACCATAAGTTCCCTTAAACAGGTTAGCAAGGTGTCATACTTTGACTTGTACCTCTGGTATGTATCATCAAGTTGTGCAGTGTGCCAACCCAAAACTACATAAACAACTGCAGGGAAGACTGAATTAATTTAGCAGAGTATATTCAGGGCCAGTTTCTCTCTTTGAATGTGCCTGTGTCACTCCTTTGAAACTACAGACAATGCGGAGGTTTCCAAAGACAGAATTTGATTTAACCACTGGAATTTGAAAAGATGCTTCTTCTCTGAAGTGGTGATGCTTCCTTGCATGGCAATGTATTAAGCTGTACAGTTGCATCTAACATCCTGGAGTACAAGGAGAATCCAAAAAAGTATCTGCAGAGTCCCTTGAGACACTTGAATGAAAAACTGGGGGTGAAAAACCTTAATACTTAATACTATAAAATTAATTATATACTATAAAATACTATATAGCATATTTATATACCATGTATACCTTGTATATATTCCATATGATAGTTATACTGTGCTATGAAATACAATATGATTTAGAAAAAAACCCCTCCTTTTAGTTTTACTCCTTTTGTTTTGCACTTACTGAAGGTAGCCTCAGCTGTGTTGTGTAGAAGAGAATCTTTCCATTATGCTCTTCCCTGCCCCTCTACCATCAAAACAATTAACCTGCTGCCATGCTGAGACAGCTATGGTCCTCTCCCCTTTACTGTCTTGTTTATATCTATAGATTATCTATATCTGTATCTTATAAGCATTCTGGTGGCACAGTTTGGAAAAAATAAGGTGATGTTGGCAGTGGTGTTCTTTGAAATTAGTGTGATTTAAATGACAATTGGACTAATGAGGAGTTATTTTAATATAGTATCCTTCAGATTATTTTATAAAAGGAAAAAGCCAAGTCCATAGTCTACAGCTTCCATTGTTCAGATGAGCCAAACTGCCACTGAAGACCACAGAAGTTTTAGTTGAGCGTTGCTTCATTTTTGTACATTTCTAGACAGCTTAGACAATGGCCAGTGTCTGGAAGCTTGCTGAGAGAAACATGAAGCAGAAAAAAACAAGAAATATGAATGGATGAGCTCAAATTTTCAGGTGCCAACTAACTTAGTTAAGAGAAAAAAAGTCATTACTTTTCTATGTGGAGCCTAGCTATAATGGAAAACTGATAGACACAAGATAATCCAGGGTATTTATTCAAGTATACTTCAGCCAGTATTAATTTAGTCCAGGACAAGTCCTTTGTGCCTTCATATGAGAAGGGAACCACATATTCAGATGCTACTCTGAAGTGGGGAAATCAGTAACATCTACTCAAGTTGGCTTTTAATAACTCACCTTGAAACCTGTATTTATAAATTATTTCTATCCATTCTCTGCCACTTGTGTGCTTGAAAGTTCTCTTGTTGGTACAATTTTGAATGTGTTCTACACCCAGTGCATCCTCCTTGTTTAGCATAATGCAGATGTTCAGGCCTCCCTACCATCTTGCTGTGAATGTTACTTCTGTTCCTATATAGTCTTAGAACTGAGTTCTTACCCCAGAGCTGATTATTTTTACTCAGAAGACTGAAAAGATGCAGATAATTGCAAATGTGCCTGTGTCTTTTTTGCTGTGTGGGCAAATGCTAGTGTTGGAACAAACTGACCTTCAAATCTGTTTATCTGAATAGGTTTGTTTGCTGCTTTTATTTTTGGCTACCTATTGCAGCAGATAAGCACCAGATAACCCGTCTTATGTAAAATTTGCAGTAACACTGCTAAACAGCTTCACTCTGTACAGTCTTGCGTGCTCATTGCAGCAGAATTAAGATACATCACATTGCTGTTCTTGGATTTAGAGTTTTAGTCACTTTAAAGCTATCTAAGGAACCATCTAATTTGGTTGTGCTTCCATATATATTTTTTTAAACCACTCTGAAGCATGAATGGCTTAGTTAAAGGACACAACTGAATGGGATACTTTTCTCAAGCAGACCCTTTAGGACACCAGAGTCTGGAGTTAAAATGAACTCTAGAGAACTGCCTCTTGTTTTAGCCTCATTGCTGTGATACCTAAATATAGTCTGAAAAAGATATAAACGGATCTAGTCCATCTAAATCCTAAACTGGGACAGAAATCCTCAACATTGATAACATCTCAGGAAGCAACCCAGCCTATGCACTTGCAGGACTGCCTACCTCTATTCTATGTTCAGCAGATGGTTTCCTATCTGGTTTGAAAGCTCCTTGAGTGCTTCATTTGAACTACTTGTGCATAGAAGTACACTTAAGAGAGTGTGCAAGGCATTAGGTGAACATCCTCTCCAGAGAATGAAGTTGGATTAAATCTGGAGTGGCTGAGGGTTCCTTGTACTCTGGGTTAAAGACTGAGACATCTAGAAGGGCAATAGTGCCTTCAGGACTAAGGAATGTCCTTACATCCCCAAACAAGTTGCTTTCTCTGTGGGCTGCTTAAAACAGGTGAAGTGATATCTCTCCGCAGATCTTTGGGATAACTTCACTGACCATACATAAAATCCTTCTAGTGCCAGGTACCTAAAACTTTAGTGATGCCATGCCTAATTTAGGCATTTCAATGAGGCAATTTGCAGTTCACACAAAGTAATGTAGCATACAGAGTTCTTAACCTGACCATAAAAATATGCAATGCTTAAAAATAAGTTTCAAAAAGTCTTTAAAAAATGGCAAATAATCATACAAGAATAAAATGCAAATCAGCACTTTCATGTGGTTGGATCCTGCTTATGCACTCCCCTTGACAACATAAATACTCAAATCGCAAAACAACACTTGTACCATGCTTCTCTCAGCCTTCTGGAAGATCTGACTGCAACTTCCCAAGCTGGAGAGGGAAGCTGGTGAAATAAGCACTATAGGAAGGGAAATAAATGTTATTCGTGGCTGTCTTACATGCCTTTACACAATCTGTACAGTAGAATTATACAGTTTTCAAACGGTAGAACAAGCCAGACTAACCTGATAACCTTTCTTTTGGTAACTGTGGTTTATCTGTCTGGATGCCAGGAAAATATCTATATCATGATATGAAATATGCATAGTTAAGTAAGAGAAGTTGGTGACAAATGCAAGTACATGATGGATAAGGAACTGACTAAAAGGAAGCTGGCAGCAAATTTTGAAAAATGGAAATTCCACATATAGCCTGAAAGGAGGCTATATGTGGAATTCCACAAGGACTGGTCTGTAGTTGGCTTTGAACCAGAAAGTTTATACAAAGGTGTGAGCGCAGCACTGTCAGTGCAGTGGATGACTAGAATATTTTACAAATAACAGACAAGTTAGAAGACCAAAGCAACAAAAACAGAATGAAACCTTAAAGTACAAATGCAGGCAAGTGTACTTAGAAACATTTGTTGCAGACCCTTAATTGGTGTCTGCTGGAAACAGCAGCAGAGGAGGAAAAAGACTAAGCTGATATACAGCTGCAGCATGACAGTATCACTGTGATGCAATCACAGGAAAAACAAGTGTTATTAAGAGACATACTATAAAACATATTTCCCTGGATGCCACAATAGAAGATACAGGTAAGACCTGAGCTGAAATACTGCACATTTCTGGTGACCTCTCTTTCAGAAGAGATAAATTAAAGGTGAAACTCCTGTATCATTTATGTACATCTTAGGACTGTAACAATGCCTGAGCTCTGTTGTATCACAAAACAGCAGACGCAATTTATGTTCTTTTTCTGGAATATACAATTGACACCCAGAAGGACTATGAAGATGAATGGACAGCCTCACTTAAAGGAGGAGTCTTAAATGAGCTTGGCTTTTTCTGTCTAGTAAAATGAAGGAACCTCATCAGCATAGACATCAGAAAGGCAGAACTGCAGAAGCAAAAGCCAGTGTAGATGCTAAATAAGATAAGCTGGTCATGGATATATTTAGGTTGGAAATCAGAAACAGGTTTGTAATCATAACAGAGTGAAGGTCAGAAACACTGTGAAAAAAGATCTTACCTGGAATCTCAAGAGGTTGAATTTACGATGTGGGAATACCAAAATCTGTTGCTGCATCTTATGACTCTTAAACCAATCACAAATAGGTTGTTTCATGTTGAAATATGAGGGAAGAGTTGAACCTACAAGAGCTGAATCCTTTATCCACAGCAGAGGATAAAGGGAAAGCACAGCACACTCACCTGAAACGGCCAAAGTCATGGTGCAGGCACAGGAATTACACTGGACAGTGGCATCTTCTGACTCGAGCAGATCCAGAATTGGCTCAAGTAAACCCATCTGGACAACTAATTCTCTGTCAACTATTTATAAATTCAAGAAAAAATGGACAAACAATAGAAATTAAACAGTTAATGCCTCTGTAAAGATAACATACTTTCCTTTGATGGCTTTGGGGGTCTATACTATGATTATGCAACACAGTCCAAAGATGGAAACAACTTGAAAGGCACTCACAGTCCCTAGCTTGGTTTGCTTGATTTCTCTGCAGACTCACGGAAGAGTGCAAGTGGTTCTATTTCAGAAAATCCCAAACATTTCTGGTAGCAATTCTGGTTTCAAACATAAGGTTCATTTTGAAAAGTGCAGCTGCAGCACTATTTTTCACTTGTAAATAATGGCATGATATTTGCAGCAAGATCCTTAAAAAAAAAAAAAGAAAAAAGAAAAAGCTACCTTTATTGAAGACTGACCCTCTCTTCTGCAGTTATGTGTAATGGCATATCTGTTGTGGCCCAGGTGCCAGGGAGCACAGTAGTTGATGCAACAAGGACTCCATTGACATGGTGTGGGGCCATACCCTGTCTATCAACATGAACTTTACTGGGAAGCTTTTCATCTGCAGCTCCCAGATCCTACATCAATTACATTTTGCCCTATTAGTTACAGAAGAAAGGGAATTCTATAACACAATATTTTATTTTTTTTTAAATCTGCAAGCAATTTAAGACCAAGGTCCAGTTAATAAATAACAAGAAAATAAGCACTGTCTCATAGGCAGAATGTATTTATAACAGCTGTATCTGTTGCTTGAAAGACTAAGTGGTGGGCTCTTGATCCAAGACTGAAAATTGTATAACTGTTCCCACAACTTTGGAAATAATTAATCAGTCTTTGCACACAGATCCAAGATCTTTTGCCACATGATCTAATCTAGTTGAAGGGATGACATGAGCTGGCAGTGTGTGCTCGCAGCCCAGAAAGCCAACCATATCCTGGGCTGCATCAAAAGCAGCGTGACCAGCAGGTCGAAGGAGGTGATCCTGCCCCTTTATTCTGCTCTCGTGAGACCTCACTTGGACAACTGTGTGCAGTACTGGTGTCCTCAACATAAGAAGGACATGAAACTGTTGGAACAAGTCCACACGAGGGCCACAAGAATGATCAGGGAGCTGAAGCACCTCTTGTTACGAAGACAGCCTGAGAAAGTTGGGGCTGTTCAGCCTGGAGAAGAGAAGGCTGTGTGGAGACCTCATAGCAGCCTTCCAGTATCTGAAGGGGGCCTATAAGGATGCTGGGGAGGGATTCTTCATTAGGGACTGTAGTGACAGGACAAGGGGTAACAGCTTAAAACTTAAACATGGGAAGTTTAGATTAGATGTAAAGTTCTTTCCTGTTAGGGTGGTGAGGCACTGGAATGGGTTGCCCAAGGAAGCTGTGAATGCGCCATCCCTGGCGGTCTTCAAGGCCGGGCTGGACAGAGCCTTTGATGACATGATTTAGTGTGAGGTGTCTCTGCCCATGGTGGGGGGGGTTGGAACTTGATGATCTTAAGGCCCTTTCCAATCCTAACTCTTCTATGATTCTATGTGGTATATCCTGGTGCCACTAGAATCTATTTGGTCTGCAGACAGAGACTCACATGTTTCCTATCAGGAACAGAAAAAGGAATTTGGATTTGTGTAGACCTGGCTATGTAGATGTGCCCTCCTTCTGCCTGACTGGCTGAAGAGATACTTTTTCACCTGAAGAGAGCATGTATTAATTACTCACTGTTTCCTTCCAGCAAGAAGTTTACAAGGGACAAAGAAGCCATCTGCTGCACCTCCAGGTCAGCAGACCTTAGTAATGCATAGAAGGGTTCCAGATGCTCCACAGGCAGGGAGATGTTCACTGGAGGAATAAGAGGAAATATTCAGGAATCTCATGGTTCACTGCAGTCACATTTATCTCTTGTTGGTCTTAAGCCTCAGGTGTTCCCATATATAGGCTGAGAGGTATTCCCCTTCATTTAAATCCATTGCTACTAGCAAAACAGGGCAAGTTTCCTGAAGAGGATTTGAGTAATCAAGTACTTCAAAAACATCACGGGAAGGGAAGCAATTTGCCTTGCTGCCAAACAAGTCATTCCACCCCACAGGAGCTCCTCATGTTGTGGCTATCTGCACTTTCAATCCAGCAAAAAAGCCACGGTATAAAGCTATCAAGCCAAGTGTCAGAATTCTTTCCTTGAAGTAAATGTAAAACTAAATATAATTAAATCACAGCCTGCTTGTTGCTGGGATTCTTACCTTTTTGTAAGACCCAGAATCTTGCTAGAAGTTTGTCTGGCATATCTAGGCTGACTTTCAACTGTTTGCAAATTACCTCAGAAGCCAAGTGCTCCCATGTAATAGTCAGAACAAAGAACATCTCCTTCATAAATTTCCACTACGATCTGGCTTCTACAGCTTTGTCCTCTTCCAAAAATTACATAAAACCATAAATGTTCCATTATGTTCCTTCCACCATATTTTGACTATGCTGTTCTCAGGAGATTCAGTATATACTGACTCTAACTACTTTGGGTTCTACTGAGTTTTACAGAAGTATTACAATTACATAAATGACAGTCATTTATAATCATGACAGATATCTCCTCATAGTAAATCCCAGAATGATTCTGCCCACATGGATATGATGGCATTTTAATTTTCCTTAGCAAACAACATAGTATGAAAGAAAAAAAAAAGTAAGAGAAAGAAATTTGATTAATAAATCAAAGGGAGTTTCACAGTTGGAAATAATACTTTCGTTTGTAATTATGTGAAAATTTTCTAGTGCACTGAGATAACTTACTGTGCTGACTCATATGCAAGTAATAGAGGGCAGCAGACTGCTGTAAACCTGCATTTTCTGAAAAGGCTAAGGTCCTCAAGGCTTCCAGAGGGTCCTTTCCAAGGGGTGACATTTCAAAACCTAAAGAGGTACAACGACAGCACAGACTCAATCACACTTGTAAAGGGTTAGTTTACCAAAAGAAGTTAAAATTTACAGCCAACCAAACACATAAGGATTTAGGACTGCAACAACTCCATAGAGCCCATCTATCCTTATTCATGTTTCAATGAGTAACAGCAGGAAATGAACCTGGAATAACCTGTCCTTGTCAATGCCTCTTGTGAAGCTTGCAAAGCTAGTGATTGGAAGCAAGATAAATTATAACCTTTAGACACTTTTATGCTCTAGAATATAAATGCGGGTGTTCTTGTTCTCCATAAAAATCTTTATCTTTTCCTGAATCACAGAAAATCTTTGTTAAAATATATTTACTGAACATGGTGTTCTTAGATACAAAAAGAGTACATATTTCTAATTCACCGCATTTTAAGTTCACCATATTTCCTGGCCTGGATATTACAATAAAGGATTTCAGGGAACAGCAACATAGTTTGCAAATGGGATTGCCTCAGGCTCAGGTTTGTAGAATGAGTCTACCTGGTTTTGAGTATGATAGCTCTCCTATGAATAAACCAGATGTTCAGCAACAGCCATCAAGCAATAGCAGTCGTGCATGACTTCTGTAAGTCACTATATAATGTCCTTATAATGTGTGGAATGGAGCAGCAGAGAGGAAAAAAATATGAGTCACTGAACCACTGCTCAATAGTATAAACTGTTTGAAAGGTAATGAAGTAATAAATTGACTGGTGGAGCACACTGCTGTAAGATATATTTTCAGAAAACAGATTAAAGCAGGGCATTAAAGATTGAAATATCTCTATGAATAAGATCTAGCTATTTTACCTCTTATGGGATAAAGAGAGAGACGTGAGGGGTGTGAGCTTTCATGCCTCACTGCAAAATTCAGCCAGTATCTCAAGCCATTAGAAGCTGCTGACATGTCAAGAGTAGTAAACTACTACATTCAGGATTACATAAGTGGGCTTCACAGAACTGCTTCATATAGAGGTCAATTTTGTTTAATAATTAACAATACACACAGAGGGAAGGACTAGCCAGTGTGCATAAGGTTTTGGAAAAAAAAATCAACCAACCAAATCTCTTCATGTGGTTTAATTCTGTTCCTTACACACTGACTATCTGAATCTCCCTCGTATCTGTGCATTTTTGTTTGGGAGAGAGATAAAGCAGAAGCTAGTTAAAACCTTCACCTGCTGTAATATCAAGTATTTGCTACCCTAGCTAATAGCTGAGTATGATGATTAACCATGAAATCTATCCTTGCACCCAAGTTATCAAAATGTTGGCTCTCTGCTTATTAGAATTTGTCCAGAATTGAGGCTGGGTTTGATCCATGTTGGAATAAACTACACAGGTGAGTGCCAAGGTAAGAGGCAAGTGTCTTGTTTCTCTTTGTGAAGCTTCCCTGCCTCCATCTGTCCTGGCAGCAGGATTTGCTCACTCAGAGAATTAACCTTGGTTCTTCCTGGGTGCTGTGTATGTCCATCATGGACATTGGGATCTCCCTAAAAGCACACACTGACATCTGTGTACTGCTGTCACAGAAGCTCTAGGCTCCCTGCTGCTGTACTCCAACTCCTGAGTATCCAACACAAAGCAGCCTTTTCAAGAACCATCTTAGAGATTAAAAGATTTTTCAAGGAAACTGTCTTTTCAGCGAGTGCTGCAAAGGGTCATTCTGGCCTCACCTTTTTTTTCCAGATCACCCCTTCACTGCTCCTGATCAATCAACTGATCTGGGGTACTGCCAAGACAGTTTATTTATATACTCAGGAGTAATCTAGCCTTTAGAAGAAAAAGTTCAGCCCTGGAAGATCTCCATTGTCCATAAAGATGAAAGATCTGGATGCAGACTTTAGGATTTAGACAGTGCTTAATGTACAATAATTAGTGAACCATATCAACAGCAGAAGACCCCCCCACATTCATAGGGTAATGACTCCAACTAATACCAGCTGAGTCTAATGAATGCATGTTTCCAACAACCAGCATCACAGAAATTATTCCAAAGGTTGTTCCATGACAGAACATTTCAAACAGCATTAACTGTCACACCAGGGAAAAAACATCTCTTCTGGTCCCCTTCACGAGATAGTTTTATGCCACTGGAAAGGCAAGTAAAGAAATAGTAGTTTGTGTTCTACACCCTTCACACAAAGTAAAGTAGAAGACTATGCAATTTTATGACTAGCTTTAGCCCAGAGTTGTTAAAGCAATATAACCAATGAGCTGTGAGCCAAAGCAAAACCAAACAAGCAGTGGCCCCGCCTAAGCTTGAGACAAAGAATTTTTTTAGGTTGGACAACTGACAAAACACACTAATCCAAGGTCTGTGACTGCAGGAGTGAAATAAAGAGTTTTCCTATTGATATTATTGTGTCCTAGGACAGGATAGAGAGAACATCACAAATGCATCTACAGGGGAATTAGGCAGGTAGCCTATAAAGCAGGGGAAGAGTTATGGATCTACTTCTGATTCAAGTGGAATCCCATGATTGTTTAAAATGTCTGCACAAAAGCACTTAGGCAGACCAGTTGCTTGGAATTCTGTGAACCCAATGGTGCTTGTCCCAGGGCAACTTCCCCATGCATACATTGCAGCAACTGAGCCAGTACGACACTGTGATTTGGCGGCTCAGAGCTCGGCACTCATGTAACATCCAGTGTTGGTACCACTTGTTTCCAGCTTTGTAACTTCAGTGACTGACTTCAAAATTTAACTTCAGCTACCAGGACTCACATTTATAAAACGTTTACCTGGGTTATGGGGTAACAGTGGTGGCAGAGCAAGAAAGTGACTGACATTTCTGTTACCCCACTTGAGCCCTTGGTGTCCTGTACTCAAAGAAAATGCTCTATAGCTCTGGCTTTCCTACATTATCACCAAGCTGCTCTCTGCCATGCCAAAGCAGTTCAGACGACAATCTGTTTTCAACCCACATAATGAACCTCCTTGTTCTTTCACAGCCCTTTTGGAAAAAACAAGTCCTCTTACCTGTTTCAATATGCTGCAGAAATTCCTGTGCTGTCACCTTCTCATGAGGTTGCAGGATGGGTTTGTACAACTGCCTGGCTTTAGAGCTGTTTTGTTTTAAGCAGAAGCATTTGCTTATCAGAGTTAAGCATTCCTTGATGCCCTGTACAAGGTCGGAAGACATCCTCTGAACAAAGGTCATGAAGTCCTGCAGCAGCTGCATGCATCGTCCACACAGTTGACCCATTCTGGCTCCAAAAAACAGCACAAAGCAAGGGGAAAAGGAAGGAGATGGAAAGAAGACTTTCTTCTCAGTTTGTCCACTTCTTGGACTAACTTACTGTCTTAGTGTTTGTCCCGTCTTTACAGATGTTAACACCACACCATGAGCAGCTGTTGTAAGCAAACAAACTTCTGCATCCAAACAGCTACATTGCACAATAAGCCTGGCTTTTGCAGATCTCCCAGTCTACAAAACATTATTTAAAAGGCTGGGCTGGAGCCACACTCAAACACCTTCCCCTTGCTTGAAGAAAAAGAAAGTGATTGCCTAAGCACATTTTGTGGAGAACAAACAGCGTTTAACTCCTGGAGCATTCACCAAAGCCTTCATGAGGCTAGAAAAGCTTTGGGATAATGGAAAAAGCTACCTCAGTTTTTGTAAGGCAGTTTTCCACATGAAGGGCAGGCACCACCTTGTTTGCATGTGTACAGGCTGCAACTGCCAATGGGAGAGGAAGATCAGAAAAAAAAAATAAAAATAAAGAAGCATGTGAACAGGTTTTTCCAGTTTTTGCTGGAGCACAGACCAGAACAAAGGCCCTGTTGGACAAACAGCTCATAGCCCAGCACGCAGCCAACTGAGACTTTGCAAACCAGCGAGAAAACCGGAAAAAAAAAAAATAATAAATACAGTGACCAAATAATTTAGAAGTATGTTTTCCTCCTGTCAGTCAAATCCTGCAGAGTGGGCTGGATAAGCCAGCAATGGGAGGATGCAAAAATCATCTGCAGTTTTCATGCAGAAAAAGGTAGCAGAAAGAAAAAGGGCAGTTCCACTTTTGCTCCACCCGTTTGCTTAAGTCACCAGCCTGGTGCATTTGCTCACCTTTTGTTGAACAGTTTTACAAATGACCTTGGCCTAATTAGTGTAGTATGAAGCGTCATTTGCAATATTCTTGAGGTTTCCAGTAAAATCTGGTTTAAGATCACCCTTTAGGGAACCAGTAGGTACAGGTCTGCCAACTGTTGATCACTTTTATTAACTTCTCTTTATCCATGGATTTGATGGATTTCTTTTAACTATTGCATGTGATATATTTATTGCCAAATTTTAGCCTCACTGTCCTTTAATACATCTTAAGTTTCTAAGTAAATCATGTTTGAAAATCAGTCCCTTGTTCTGTACCCATCTCTAAACACTGATGAACAGGCTAACCCAAATCTCACTGGTCTGTCCAGCTACTGCTATTTCTTCTCTCACTTACACGTCATTCCCCTAGACACAAATACTATATGGCACAAATAAACCCACCTACAACTGTAAACCAAAAGGTATGAGACCTCTATTACACAATGCAATCCATTACAAACCATCAAGACTTTGATTTTGCTTTCTACTTCTTTGACCAGTCTGCAAACCCACCGAGTTCTGATCTCTGTCTGGCTTCTTAATATTATCAAAAGTGAGGCTAATACTCCTATTTTCTCATGTTTTTAATAGGCATCTTCTAAAGTACAGGGAACCTGTGTGATTGTCAGGTCCTGCTTTTGCCACTGCTTGTTTTTCACGTTTTGCGCATGATCTTCCATTCTTCACTTTCCATCCAAAAAGCAGTAAGGTGACAGATCATTGGAATTTATCACATGTTCTGTCTCTTGCTCTGTCCTGTTGACAGAACTCTTAAGGTTTAATTCTTGTGAGATCTTTTTCTAAAGTAATTTGAACTGTACTGCACTAACGTAAGAAAAAAACAGGACTGTTTCAATTAGACACTTGTTAGTAATGACTGCCTTTCTGTAACATATTCCAAGCATTTCAAAATGTATTACAGACATTGAAGTAGCTCTCCAATGTATCTGTAATGAAGATGCTCCCGAATGGTTTAAAAACAAGTTTCAGGGGTGCTGTGCTCATGTAACTCCATTTGAAATAAATGGGAGTTAAATAAATGCACAGCTGAAAATCAGGCTATAAGTTGCCTGAAGGCATAAAACTCAGGTTTCCCAATGCCTAGTTTGATGATTCAGTCAGTCTCCTTTATTTGAAACCACTACTTGAAAGCCAGAGCAGAAAGCTGATTTACGGGTCTTCCAATCTGTTCTGAATTCACAATAGCTGCTATAAAGGTAAAGGCTGCAACCATAAACACAATGTTTTTGATTAGTTTCATGACTTACATACGTTTCCTTATCTGACTGAATAAAATATCAGCCCAAGACCACACAGAAGGGAAAAAAATTAGTAGTACTCCAATAGTGTTAAATTATTTTGCTTTCATTCTTCTAAAGAACATGTTCCAAATAGTAGAAGCCCCACACCCCACATCATGACTTTTTTTCCCCCAGAGGAAAAAATCAGTTCCTTTGTAAAGTGTTAGAAAAAGCCTCTCAAAACCATTTCCATTCAGCTGTGTGCAAAAGAGATTTCCTGAAGACTACTTGGAATTCTGTATAAAATGCACTTGGAAGTTCAGACCTATCTGCCAAATAACAGAGGAATGCTGTAGCTAAATGGCACTTTAAACAGAGAGCTTCCACTGGTCCAGCATTTTATCTGCTCTGCAGTTTCTCTGCCAAGGACAGAAAATACTGCTTTTGGGCACAGTCCCTTAAGCATCTGACACTTGCAGTAGGTTTGTTCTGAATTAAGAACAGAAAATCTAAAAATATATTTACTTGTTACTAAATTAATTTCCCATTTCACTCATGCAGCATGCTACTGCTTGGGAACAGAAATTCCTTATCTAGTTTGCAGTGGTGCATACTTTTTGATTTTGTTTGCTCAAAAGTTGACTGGCACTGGAGGTGTACACAAATGCTCTTTATAGTCCTCTTTCATACAATACCTAGGGCCTCTTCATTCTAACAGGCCGAAAAAGCCTCAGGGTCTGACATGAATATTGGAAAAAACAGGTCAACAGATTTTTCTGAGCTACAGTAGCAAATGCTTCCCTCTTAAAGGAAAAAAACGATAGCTCCAGGTTCCAGATTTTAGAAATACTGTTAACATTGTGAGTTTAATTAGTGGATAAAAGGATTTCTGGGGAGCATAGGAGTGAGGCAGAGAATGAGAATGTATGGAGACTTACTTGATCTGTGTGTCAGTTAAATAAGAAAATAAAGAAATGCTTAAAAAGCAGTAAAAGAATATACTTACGTTATTCAAGAATCAAAAACTATAAAAAAGGAACTAAATTTGTATTTTATGAATTTGTCCCACGTCATTTTATTTTTGCAATGTCTTATACACATTTCTTTCACTCTCTTCTCTCACCCTTCTGTTCAGTTTAGAAAGCTGTAAAATGATGGCTATACATTACTGCTTCGTTAACAACAAATCTGATTTAAAAGGTCATAGCTCCCCTGATGTATAGCAGGTCTTTATTGTCCCCACTCCTGCAGTTAAGGCCTCCTTCCTTGTATTAAATCAGTGCAACTGCTCTTTAAACAAGACGTGGCTTCAAAATAACAACAAAAAATAATCAACAAACCAAAGGTCTGAAGTTCTAAAACTGGATCTACCATTGACAAAATAATAAAATAAGGAATTAGAAAAAAAATGGTTGAGGAAGCAGAACAGTTCTAAACCCTGAGTCCTATGTGTATAACTTATATTACTACTGAGTTCTTTTAAAATATATGATAAAAATATATCTTTTAAATGTATACATGTGTGTATAATTATATATGATGTATATATTCACAATTAAGATTTCAGGACAAAGGCTGAACTGAACCAAGACACACCCCAGTCATTTAAGCAGGTAGGAAAGCATATGTGAGGAGTTGAACAATCCAAATTTGTGAAAAACTGTCAGGAGTTACTTCATGGCATAGCGAGGCAAAGCTTTGTTTGCACTCATTGCACTGTAGAGTATAAGTTGCTCTCACTGCATCTAATTCCTTGGCTGAGGTATTTGCTCATCCTCACTCAGAGGGAAGAGTGCCATCTACTGAAGCATCCCCTTTACACAGCTCCCTTGAAACTTGTCCCACTCATGGATTGACAAAATCTGCCCAAGGGGGTTATGAAACTGAAAAAGGATTTAACAGGAAAATAAGCTGCTTTAGATGTGAATCCCTCCTGCAAAATAACAGCTGCATGTAAAGGACCAGCCCAAAGATGGTAACACCACTGACTTGAGCAAGTCTATGATCCAGTTTTATGAAGAGATTAAAACCAGCCTCATTATGAGCTTCTTCATTCTTAACAAATCTTTGGAATTGAAGTTACATTATCATCTTGTAACACTTATTCCCTGATAGGATAATCCGATTTCACTGCTGACTATTAACAGTGGACTTTGTTACTCATTTCCCCTTCCTACATTACTGCTGAGAAGATGTACAAGTACTCAGCTGACTCACTGAATAGTGATGACATCTGCTAACAGTCAGCAAGGGTTTGCCTGGGGCCAGTGATGACACTATGATAATTCTATGGTGCTTCTTTGTCTTCATGTATCTTCCCATTGGTTTGAACTTCCATACTTGATTTACTTGATTGTAAATTTTCCAGATTGTTGCTGTATTCCAATAAAGCGGCACTTTGTGTCATGGCCAGAGCTACTATCTCTGTGATAATAATAACACATAATTAATTCTTTTTTTTTCAGTTTTTTTTTTTATTTTTTACTTTGTAGCAAAAGAGTGCCTCTAAAACATCAAAGGTAGATCAGATGTGCCCACACACCTTAGAAGTTTAAACAAGCTGTATAAAAAAAATACCTGGAATTTTACAAGGTAAATTACCACCTAAAGACATCAAGGATTTGAAGAAGTATAACAGCTTGCAGGACAGAGATGAAAGACCTTTCAGGTTGTGCTTCATATCAATACCCTTAGAAAACCACTGGTTTGGTGTGTTTCAGGTACACATCCTGATGTTTTTGCTAACAAGGGGCTGCACTGAAGAATCACAGAACCCATAGCTCAAATGCGAAATTTTTTGATATAACAAAACTTGAAACAACTTACACTATTTGTCATTACGTAAACATATATGACATCATTAAAATATGTTTTCAAAAAGTTTCACGGTATAGCTTGTTTTTCTTTGTTTTTTGGGCGGTGTTTTGGTGTTTTTGTTTTGTTTTGTATTCTGGGCCTCTAGTATGTTGTCTTAAATACAATGGAGAATTGAAAGAGTAGAAGTGACCAGCCTTTCTGTCCCAATGAAATATATTCCTTATATCTCAGAAAATATAGGAGAGCTGTCCATCACTGAAGGGAAACAACATGAGCATCCTACAGGTCTTCAGAACCATTAGGAAATGTGTGTGTAGTTTGCGTGCACCCAAATCCCACAACAGTTCTGGAAACCTTACTCGCCCTAGTAAGCTGGCTTCTTCCCATGAGACCGTAATTGATAGCCTCCATTATCAGCCTCCACACTGACGGTGTTTTTTGTTGGTTACAGCAAAAGTCAGGGCACATGTGCTGCACTTGAGATACAGGTTAGTTACCCCTACCCCTGCATAAGGGAAAAAGCATTAAAAAAAGGACAGAGGGAATTGTGTGTCTGTCTAGGCCGTGCTGTTCATCAGGTAGCCACAAGTGGTCAAAACTAAAAACTGTTTCAGCACCAGCCACTTACTCGTTGCTGTATATGCAGAAGGTAGAAGGCAATGCTTAAAGAGCCAGTGCATTACTTTCCCTACTCAGGTAACGGCAAACCAGCATATGCCTGCTTCCCATTTCAAGTGCCTTTATCCTCCATCAGTTGCTTTTGAATGCGTTGGAGTCATTATCCACTGAACTTAAAAGCTCAGTTAAAATTGTGCCTATACACCTTTCCCAGCTCTTTTTTCTTTTGTAATTTTATACTTGTCTCAGAAATACTATGCAATAGCATTTAAAAAATAAATCAGCTGTGTAAAATTTGAGCAGCGTCACTTCGTGTTACTCAAGCCCTAGCCTGAGTGTTGTACTTTTCAGCAGACACAGTAATACCTTTGTGCACCAGACGCACCACAACCCTCCGCTGCTCTTTCTCGGTGCTACAGCAACCCCGACCTCGCTGCTCCCGGCTGCTGTGCTGCACCAGGGCGATTCGCGCACATCTGCCGCAAAACCGGCTGCAGTAAAGCGCCGCAGTTACGCGCCCTCCTTCCTGCCGTGCGGGAGCATCTGGCGCCAATGCCGCTGGACGGTGGTCCGCCCGCTGCGCCCCGCCGTGCAGACAGACCCGCCCAAGCAGCTCTCGTGGATGGGCGCGCACCCCAACCCACAGGTAAGCGGGCCGTGGCCAGGGGCCCGACCCCTCGGATCACTCTTTGATGGGGGAGGTAGAAAGTAAAAGACGATAGTTTTAGTCGTGGTGCTTCGGAAATAGTCGAGCTGCAGCCGGTGGGGCACGGAGCGCACAGCCCCGGGGCGGAACGTAGGGCAAGGCCCCTCCGCTCACCCCGGGACACGGGCACGAAAGGGAGGGGGGGCGCTACCTGCCGTCTAGTACCAGTATGGCGTGCCGCCATCTTCCTTGCGGATAGCTACCCAAAACCAAGATGGCGCTGGGGCGGTGAGGGGTGCCGGTGTTTTCCCGCCCAGGGCGGAAGTGACGGCCCCGCGACGGCAGCCCACCTCCCGCTCTCTATGGTGGTTTTTTTCTTTTTCCCTTTGGGCCCCGCGTC